GAAACCACATTGTGGGAAAGTCAACAGCAATGTTTGTCCAAAGGAGAGAGTGGCACCTGCCACAAGAATGTAGAATTTCCACAAACGGTTTGGAGACCACCAACAAAGATGAGCTGCAGTCCAACTGGTTGTTTGAACGTGGAAAAACTTTTATGTAGGCGCTTGTCTCCGCGGCTAGACGGCGGCAGGATGAGCGGCACGACAAAACGAGCGGGGCGGCTGCGGTGATATCAAGGAGCAAGTGGCGGCCGGGGGAAACCCCGCGCCGACAGCGATTCTGCCCGAGTCCATTCCTCCCACGTTAGTCACTTGTGGCCGGCAACAGCCTCGCATTTGGCGGCGAGCATTCCAGCAGCGGCGGCGATGCCATCGGGCTCGAGCGGAACGGTGGAACAGGCACGGCTTTTAATAGCATGTCAAAAGTCAGAGCCTCAAATGCACGGCAAGGGGCAGCGCTCGTCTCTGTTGGTGGCCCTGAGCCCTGAGTGGTGGAAATTCCACGTTCTTGTGGCTGAAATATTTCATAAGAATATATACGGAAAATACATTTCATAATTAGTAACAGCGAGCTAATGAAAGAGTGCATAAAAGGACGGTTGGAATCAATGTTGATATGGCAAATGAGGCAGAACGAAGAAGACAGAGCCCGAGGGGATACTAATATTCGTGAAAAGGCAAGGAAGGCGAGACCTAGGTGTTCTGGGCTTGTCTGAGAAGGGGGTGAAGGAGATGTAATGAGAAAGTCTGTGAAGATGCCACTGGCGCAGAGGAGTAGAGGACGGAGACCGAGGGCGAGATCGGAGGATGAGGTGGAATGAGATACGGGAATAGTGAGTGTGACGAGAGAAGAGGCACAGAATAGAAGCACGTGGAGAGAGAAAATCTGAGCAGCTGACCCTACAAAAATAAATAGCATTGTGTCTGTGATGCACGGGATAGCGGTGGTGCAGCGGTTTACACACTGCGCTACGAACGTGACAATCTGAGTTCGATTAGCGGCCAAGGCTAACAACACAATTGGGCGAGTGATATCAGAACCGGTCCTCAGCAACCCCTACACCAACCTGCGTGGACCGATGTGATGAAGTATGGTCAAATAACCCCCCGCTTCTGATACAACATGAGGAGGCCTTCATCCACAAGTATATTGACAAGGGGCTACAGCTTATTTATTCTCATTATTATGGCCTCACACAGTCCAATGCCTGGCATACAACGACACACACATAGACCAGGTGGCTCAGTTTATATATGCAGGTTGGTAAATGGTTTATACATGCAGATATAATGTATAAGAGTTTCATTGGGTTATGGATGATATTGGTCGGGAAAGCCTACTTGTTAAACAGATATAATGTAATAAATAAACAAAATTTGCTCGCCACAAATATGCAAGTGGGAGGGGAGCGTTGCGTTTCTGTGGTGGCGGGCTGCCTGGGCAGACGCTGTCATGGGATATTAGGCAGGTACATAAAGGTCGAAACGAAAATGTCTGAAAGTGAAATTTAAGAAAACTAATTGACCGCGGCGAGGCTGTGGTCTTTTCCAACTGGGGGCTAAACACGTGTTTGATTGAAAAAGAGATCGGCGGTAAGAATGAGCAGGGAACTGTAGAAAATAAGAGGTTGCATACGTAGGCCACTGCATTTGTGATCTTCCCTCGTAAGTTCGTCTCTCAGGTAGAGGTGGTTAAAGGCGCAACTCTTCAACTGCTGGCTCACGCCACCGCCGGCAGAAGGGCCTACACGCTGGCCAAGTACCTTGGAAGAGACGGTAGTACCCACACTTTACCCCACCACGTGACCTGCTCTCTATCCATTAACGGTGGTGCGCCCATTTACTCCGCTGGGTGGACAGAGGTACGTTTCATAGCCAATGCCAGAATCAACATAAGAATATTGCTTTATACTGGAGGAATCCGATGAGCTATAAAGTTATTTTTTCACAGATATCCAGTAGGGGTGGGGGTCAGATCCACACAACAACAAATAGTAAAAAAGAAACAATAGGAGTACAAAGTATAGGAAAGGAAAACAAATCACAATAAAATACCAGCTAAAGCCCACTGAGCTATTTGCTTATTTTTCAGAAGCGACCTGACCACAAATGATCAGCTCAACCGAGTTGCTTATCGTGTCGAAATTTATAGGAGCAGAATTATCTAAATAATCTAGGGGTGCTCCTGAGCTCGTAGCAGGAATTCGACATTCCTCAGGGTGCGTGCGAGTCCATCCACACGTGGACTATAGTTTACCGAGCAGAGGGCGGTTTATTGATTCCGTAGGGACGTGGACTGGTCGCGTTGAACCCCGGCCAGGGTTCTGACTCTAAAACCCGACTGTGAGCCGAGCGCTGTGCCCACAGCGCCACCTGGTCGGATGCATTAGATATATTTTTATATCGACATGCACCCGCTAACGCGGGGGGTGTGGCGGTTGAGCCAAGGCAGGCGCACAGAACACACCCCTCCGGCCAGAACGTGGGATCTCTGAATATTTGAGGGAGGGATTGAGGACATTTCTGACATTCCTTTGGTCAGCAAGCAAACAACGACCCACGAGCCATGTGCTTAACGTGTACAAGTATTCACAAGCGTGTGTGTGTGTGTATGTATGTAGACGGAACGGGCAGTGGTGGAGAGGTTAACGCCCTGCGCTACGAACCCAGTGACCCAAGTTCAATTCCCCGCTCACGGTCAACACCAGTGACGATTATCTGAACCGGTTCCAGGGCCTCTCCTAGGTCGACTCGGCCTCAAATGAGTACCTGGTGCGATGTGTAAACATCAACAATGGGGAGACAAAGGTGGCCGGGCGTATTGCTGGTCACCCACCCCCTCGTGTGCCGTTGCCGGCCTTCATAGGTGCTCGTTAATAGCACTTGCCCTAACAGTCTGTTAAAGGCTATGCGGGGGATCTTTGTCTTTGCGTGGACGGAGAGGGCGAAGACATAATATGGTGGTTAGCACTTGGCCCATAACGAGGCACCACCCTCAACACAGCGATTTGACTCAATCCGTCACAATTCATTAATCGATTCCCTTTTTACACGCTTTTATTTAACTCACTCTGTTGTATCCTCAACTCTGTCTGTTGTTGTATCCTCAAATCTTGTAACTCAATTTTAACCCACTTCCTAATGTCGTATCGACTGCAAACTTGGTATACTTATGTCATACTGATGACAATACTATATTCTATCATCAAAAATAAATATATATTTTTAAGCAATCTTTTTTATATCTAATGTTTCGGCTTGGGTCTAATTGTCCACGCTCAACTCACGTTGGCTGTAATTGCCCACGGTCCCTTACGTTGTGGCAAGCTTCGGGGCCACTTCCTGGAGTCGTGGAGTTCTGCACATTACTCGTACGGTACATTTCATTAAAGCGTGTTTTTTAAAAAGCATTTTTAAATATTACTTATTTTGCCCTCACCACCCGCCCCCCCCGCCTCCTTCCCCGACACCCAGTTTGGCACTGCCGATGCACAGCGCCGCACAGCAGGATTTCACAAGTGCCAGTGGAAACATCCGAATGCCCACACAGCTGCCTGCCTTGAATAAAACTCTCGCTCCGTGGTGAAACCGCCACACTGCCCACTCACCACCATCCTTGCCTGCTCGCCACCACTAATGCCCACTAACTAGCAACATTGTCCGCTCACCATCACTACCGCCCGCTCGCCAGCATCACTGTATGCTCATCACCGCCCCTGACCGCTCACCAGCATCACTCACCACCATCACCGCTGCTGCCCCCACCTCTCCATGTGGTGCCCTTGACTCCAGGCTATGATTAGCAGGGCCGTGGGGAGGTGGGGGCACTGCATGGGGTGTCCTCCGATCCTTAACCTCTCGGGTGGAAAATGACACTGGAAAGCTGTGCCCTATACACAGGCATATGTTGTGCAAGAGATTTCAAAGCGTTAATGTTGCCAATTGATGTTCCTTCATCCCACTGTGAGGCACAAGAAGAGATGTGCACCCCCGGCTTCACGTATTCGCACGTTGCATATCGCATCGTGCTGAAGTTAATCATTTTCTGTGAGGCTCAACCGGGACACATGGTAAAAGCTGGCAGCCTCTCTGTCCGCCAGCCCTGCCCACTTTTACGTAGCCACGCACGCTCAATCATTAGCCCTGACATCGCACTCGGTGGCCTCCAGAGCTGCGACAATTAGTCGGTTAAGTCGATTATTTTCGATGCTCGATTATTGGGGCCCCTTTAAGAATATTGGCCCCAACATCCAGCCTCCCCCGAAAGCACGAAACCCCCTACAAGCCACAACTCGTGTGACACAGCTTACGCTGGTTAAGTCAACAATTGCAACAATTGTCGCCTGTTAACTCCTGTCCAATAGAACACGTGGGAGCAGAGGTGAGACTCTGCCGCCTGATTAATGATGTGTTTCCCAATGAGTCGATAAATTAAATAAATAAATGGTCATCCTCGCAACGGCTTTTGGCTGGTCATCGAATAAAGACGGTCACCGCATCGCGCGCCTTCAAATGTGCTTCTGCGGCCATCTGGAACGCTCTTCCTTCCAATATTAGGAAGCCACTGGGGCTATGCTTTTTGTGTTTAGTTTGTTGTCCTTCCGCCCAGGGGCGGCGCCAGGGGGGGGTGACAGGGTAGACAATTGTCACCCCGAAAAAAAATAAAAAATCGAAAATCTGAAACATTCGGCGTATAAGTGTACGACACTCGGTCTGGCGGACTCCGTGCAACTGCATTGCCAGAGCGTGTCGCCAACCGATGGCGTGGGGGGTATAGCCGATTTCTCATTCAATCATTCTTGAAATTAAAATTTGTTGAATGTCACCCCGGGCTGAAAATCCTGGCTCCGCCCCTGCTTCCGCCCCGCACCTCCGATTAGCACAGTTAGCTACGTATGGTGCGAAAGAAGTCCAACACATGCACACAGGCGAAGAACGCATTATGGCTGGGTCATAATCTCGCAGCTCGCCCGCCCCACGTGTTCCGTGTCTCAGGGACTCACCAGGTGTCGGGCCCGGCTCGTCTCCAGCAGCTCCCGCGACTGCTGTTGCTGCTGCTGCTGTTGCTGCTGCTGCTGTTGCTGCTGCTGCTGCTGCAGCAGCAGCGTTGCTCGGCCCGGATCCGGCCGGTGCGCCGTGCCGCCCCCCGCCGCGCTGTCCTCCGGATGTTGCCCCCACCGCCCTCCGCCCGCCCCGCTCTTCCACTCGAAAACACGCGTGACGGCTTCTTGGGCTTCCTAGGGAGGGGAGGACGGGAAGGGGAGATGCATGGCGGGTCGAAAGTGGCACGAGTTGGCTGCCAGTACGAACACTGAATAACAAATCGCATTCACATCTTGCCGGAAATTGAAACCCCACTACAAATTGCCTGTACAATATCCCTAGGCATTATACACCATCGTACAGCACTAAATTAGTCATTGCGCAGCACTCGATCATGCACGCCAGATTTTCTCTATCCTTTGCAAATAATCAAAATCGTAAAACAAATTGATTCTGACGAGTACGAAACAATGCATGGATCGTGAGTATTTAAAAATACAATGTAATTGACTAATGCACCACTTCTCGATGAATCCCATGCACCCAGCAAAGATCCCCCATGGAGCCTTCAAGAGACCGTTGTTGCTAGCGAGCATCTACAGCACAGGAGGGGGCGGGGTGGTCTTCACCCTGCCGAGCCACCTTTGTCTCCCCAGTGGTGATGTTTACACCACACCGGGCGTACTCGTTCAAGACCCAGTTTAAATATTCTCCACCGATGTCAGCCTTGGCCGGAAACCACACTGGGGTCACCTGGTCTGTAGCGCGTCGTGCACATCGCAGCGCCACATGCCCATTTGCACCTCCGATTAGCACGGCTGGCTACGTACGGTGCGAAAGAAGTCCAACATAGATACATACATCGCACACACACCGCACCGTCTCGCGCAAATCCGCATCCCCGTCACTGCGGACGCTGGCTGGGAGCTGCCTTGTCCTCCCGCTGGCGTCAGGGCGGTGCCAGGGGCTGCCCCGATCCGGCTTGTGAGGCTGGTGGCCGCCAGGATGACGTGAGGCAAGGACCGCCAGCTGCCCGTACATGCGGTCCCATGCGGCCAGCGGGTCTGGTGAGGAGCTAACAGATGGGGCACACACAGGCAGCGTGATCCGTGCTACAACAAACGCAGCCCGAGGTACATTCATTAATTCGTTCGTGTGCCTTGTTTAAAGCTGGGCGAGATCTCACTGCCTATCACGAAATCACTCAGAATGCGGCCGGTCTCATCAGATCTTGGGAAGCTAAGCAGGATCAAGCCTGGTGGACTCGCATGAGAAAAACAAATGTTCTAGATTTTGGTTGCGAGTTGGCTATGCGATGGCAGAAGAGTAATGGGTTCTTGAATCTACCTCTGTGGATATTTGAGTATCTCACCCTCGTATGCGTATATTGTCTTCAAGTTCTTTGACTTTCTCTCATATGTCCCTCATGAATGCAATTGGCCAAATATCCCAACGTAGAACCCTTTTGAAAAGTTACGAGACTCAATCAGGTTTCCCTAGTTTCAGGCATTGTTATAATTAGCATTATTTGGCAAAAGTAATCTCTGAAATGTGAATATGGAATTTTCATCAATAACTCGGGCCTGCCAAAAAAGAAAATGCGTGCTGCACCAGAATTATTTTCCACAGAAACATATTTCAGTTTCATAGAGGATAACACATATACAGTACATATAGAATGTGTATATATGATAATGATTAAAGTTCAACTGCCTTTATGCTCATCGAGTCCCGTGCAGTGGTCATCTCCCTTGATGGCTCTAAAATGGTGAAGGGAATTCCACATTCCTATGGCAGAGGACATTCTGCCTCTATAACGGTAAATGAGGACCAATGTCACCGGAATCTGCCAGAACTTCCCCTCTGGCAAAAAGAATGTGAAAAAATCGAGCGACAAAGCTCCTGCATGGAGCCGGCGAGGAATCACCCCGAGTGAGGAGCTCGCGTCTGGGCTCCGATTCCAAATGGCTCACATAGCAGAGCCTAAACAGACTGAAGAGATTGGCTTTCAGCAGACGCAACTCTCTTGTGAAATCATGGGGAATGGGGGGGGCAGGGGGCTTCTACACAACAGCCGACCAATGTGCTTGTCAGGAGAAGCAAGCCACATGGCTCACATCTCCTGAGATGCCCTGCAGCACCACAATGCAACTCCTCGAGATTTGGCAATACCAACACGAGAAGCTGTGGCCTGTGCAGAATATTGGGAAAAGACCCATACAGGTTGGGATGGGAGACACGACAAAGAAGACTGTGGAGTTTCAACAAAGTGGTCCTCATTGTTATCATCCCAAAGCAGGATGGACCGAGTTGACCCCTGAGCAGGGAGTTGACATTCCGGTTGGGAGTTGAGAAACTCCAATCACAGGCGTTACCGCACAGCTTGACGCGTTTAGTTGTTGCGGCGGTGATTGTTTACGAGGACAATGGAATGTTCAGCCTGTGCTAATAAACCACTGCCAGAAGTAGTCCAATCTGTTGCATTGAAGGCTGCAGGTTTACGGTTCAAACCGCAACTACGGTACAAATCCAGCAACGTTATGCATCTAAGCCACAGTCATCCACAGTAAAAAAAACGCTGTAAAAACACAGTACATTCAAAGTGGAACCACATAGGAGGATTCTGCATGAAAGTGGCACTCTGGCACAAAAAAATGCTTAATAGTTCCCAATAACCTTGCGGCCACTATAATCTCCAAGGGCAAAATAATAATAATGTAGGACCCAGGACCATGATTAACTGAACCGTTAAATCCCTACTATTCACTGTCTCTTTTCCACTCTGTCTCCCCTCTACCAGCATGGTTCTTACCCACACATCTTTCTCCTGTTCCATCGCCTCTTTTGATCTCACTAAGCCGGGCGTAGTGGCTGTGACGCACTCCTGTAATCCAGTGCTTTGGAGGTGGCGTTGGTGAACCGTGCAGACGCTGACATGTACGGGATGCCTAGCGACCAGGGATGGGCTGAGGAAGCCAATTGGTGGCGGTACAGAAAGAAGGATGCTAATGCACCTGCGCGGATTCGTAAGTGTTATGTTATGGGTATGAGCACACAGGTTTCAACCCAAGCTCGAATATATTCCATAAGAAAACTGGCCAAACATGCTCGGCAGACATGTCCTGAACAAGTGTGTTGAGACTCAGTGGGGATTTCCTGGATAAAAAAATTAGTGGTCAAATGGTCACCCTGCTCTCTACTGAAAATCATGAGCCAGTGGTGGAAATTGAACATTCCCATGGCAGGGACCAGTTTATCCGAGGACATATACTGCCCTTTTTAACAATCCTCGACTGGATGAGACCTTCCCCACTCTGAGCAGGTCGTGGGGGTTATTTAACTATACATCACCACGTTAGTCAGTGCTGATTTGTTAAGGCGGGGAGCATAGTCATTGGAGCATCGTATGGTACAACAGTGGATATTGCTGCACTGCCCTTTGCCTTTAATGTAGCCACACAGCAGCCTATCACACCCGTTAGTGCAGTGGTCAACCATCCCAAGCACTGTGCAGGCTCAACCCTGCTTGAGCTTCTAAGATATAACAAAGGCCAGGTGCGTCCTGGGTGATTTGACCACGCGCTTATCCGAGGACTCCTGACTAGAGAACAATATAAAAACGTGTCCAATCGTCTCTCTCTCGTTTGCTAATCCTCTCCGAGAGACTGCAAGACCTCTCTCGTCCATCCACGCATTATTCAACTGCACGCGACGCACCCCTCCGCGCCGGTTCCAACAGGACCTCAGGCGACGACGACCCCTCCCCCTCTGCCGTGGGCGATGCCAATGGCCCGGACGCTGCCCGCTATTTCTGGGGTTTCTGCGCAGCTGAAAACCCAACTCCCTCCCACGCCCGGCATGACTTCACTGCCCACATACGAGTGCCTCACGTTATTTGAAGTGGTTGCATTTTTACTAAATTTGAAATATTGCTTTTCCTCCCCGCTTCCCCCGCCATCCTACTCTGACGTCATTCGAAATTGCGCGTGCCTTTCGAAAGACCTACTATGTTACACGAGGACCCGGCACCGGTCACGCATTAACGAATGGTGTCAACAATTTCCAGGTCAGCGTCTTTCACCATGCAATGGAGTGGCGATCATCTCCACCGGTGGCCCGGACAAGTGGTGGAAATTCCACATTTCCATGGTGGGGGTGGTGGGGGGGGGGGGGTTAGTCTCTTAGAAAGACATTTTTTTTTTATTTCCCAGAAAGAAGTACAGCACTCTTTTTAAAGACCCAGAAAAAATGAAAGGCCGAGTCAAACTTCACACGGAATTTGGATCCATTACCTTGTTGCCCGATCTCCCTGGCCCACTTTCCCCTACTCTGTGTAGCGACTGCTTCTCGGAGCCCATGGCGAATATCATCTATCGCAGACTACGCTTACCCCTGGGACTCTATTGAAGGGTGCACTCACGAAGTGAGACCTCTGATGTTCCTGTGGCTCCCCTAGCGTTTGTTTGTGCAAGGGCACTTCCCTGTAACTCCAAGGGGCAACCCAATGGTGCTGGACTGGGACTGGTGGTGGACCCTGATCCTGGATCCACGATTCCCCTTGGTTCGAGACCTAGGTGACCCTGGTGCTTCTGTCGCCTCCTCTGGCAGTGGCCCCGAGCCGTGCGCCGCGTTTGCCCAGTCCGCCTGTCTCTTTCCCGCCTCTCCTCACTTTCGCCTTGCCCCAAAACCACTGCCAGCTGTCCCCGTTTATTTACCTCACTCCCCCCGGTTGTTGTCCCGGATGCTCTAACCCCCTAATTCGTACAGTGTGTTGAAGTGTTGAACCAGCATCCCACGCTACCTCAGCGCGGCGGCGTGGGGTCGACCCGACCCTTCCGCTGTCCTCCTGATGTAACTCTGCCGCACGCCGCCGCCGCCGCCGCCGCTGGGCAGGTGAGAGATTCCGAAGTCCGGTGCCGATTTAACGGCCAGGTGCTGGGTTGCAGAATGACTCGGGGCGGCGTTGCCGCCAGAGTGGAGGGCGGGAGCCGGCCCAGACTCAGGCCGTACCAACGAGCGGCCCGCCGGGTTCAAGTTAGCGAGCTGTGGAGAAAAAAAAACATGGTGTGGCTGTGTGCCCATGTTGCTGTGGCTGCATCGCCTTGTGTTGTGTTGTTGTGCTGAACGGACAGGTGCTCGCAAATGGCAATCACCCTTTCATCTGTAAATCTGTAAGGCTGCATGAGGGACCTTTTGTGCATGTGTGCGGTATGCGTTGAATGTGTGCGTTCATGGGTATCTCTATAGGTACAAATTTGCATGTTCATGTTTGTCCATGCATGTTTATATTTTTTGTGCATGTGTGCGTGCGTGCCGAGTGGTGGCGCGGTACTTAGCGCATTGCGCTACAAATCTGGCAGGCTGGGTGCGATTCCCGGCGATGGCTAAGGTCAGCGGTGATATCTGAACCTGTCCAAGGCCTCCCCTACGTCAACTCCGCCTTAAATAAGTACACTGTGTGGTGCGAAATATGTGGTCCTGGGCACACCACTCGCTCGCATGCCGAGTCGCCCTTCAAAGGTGTTCGCTAAAAGCACTTGCCCCCGACAGCCTATGTAAGCTTCACGGCGGATCTTTGTCTTTATGTACGTGTATGCGGAGGTTGCGGTGGATGCTCACGCACGTGCTGGCCGAGCAGCCCGGCCGCCGTGTACTGCCGCGACGCCTGCTTCTCGGCCAATCGCTTCAGCGCCACCGCGACGGCGTCGCCGCCCCACGCTTGTTCACGGGACAGAGCCACGGCTGTTCCCGGCCGCTGCCGAACGGGCGACGAGCCGGTACGGCTGTGCGCTGTCAACAATGCAAACAAACACAACGATCTCCTGTATGGCCTTAACATGAACAAACACACGACACACACACACACACACACGTGTTTATACCCAAATATAACAAAGACAAAGATCTCCCGTATAGGTGCAAGTGCTGTTCGTGAACACCTATGAAGGCCGGCACGGCACACGAAGGGAGTGGGTTTCCAGCACCATGCCTGACCGCCTTTGCTTCCCCAGTGGCAATGTTTGCACACTTCACGAGGTACTCATTTGAGGCGGGGTCAACCTAGGGGATGCCCAGGACTGGTTCAGATAATCGTCACTGGTGTTGGCCGTGAGCGTCGAACCGAACTCGGGTCACTGGGTTCGTAGTGCAGTGCACTAACTGCTGCACCACCGCTTCCCATAAACAAACACCAGCACACGTGTTAATACCGAAATACGCACACGAAATGCACGCGTGCAAACACGCGAGATCATAGCCCTGCGGCCATTAACAATCAGTTTTTGCATGGCGCTCGGCCACCCAAGCATTAGTAGGCATTAAGTGTTCTTAGATTGTGAATCTGACAAAATTGTGTGATTTGGTCACACACGGACACAGTTTCAGGATGTAAAACTGCAATATCCAGATCTCAACACAGGAGTGCGTGGATTTGAACAAGTAACGGCCAGAACTCATCGTGTAATCACAAAACCTGATTGGTATCCGCCTGCTCATCACCCTCATGTTTCGAATGGCTCCTCCGCGCCCCTGCTTCTTTTGCATGGCGGGGAGTCGGTCAGCAGCGTTGATGTTCTGAGCGAATGAGCCAGTGGATGGCTTCAGTGATTAGCCTGGGGAATATCTGAAATGTTGGCGGCGAATGATTGACACGGGCAGCGGTGTTACCGTTTGTGCTTCATGGTTTGAGACTGCGATCGCATTATGGGCCATTCTTAATGTTTAACTTCTTTCGCACCGTACGTACAGTGAGGGAAAAAAGCATTTGATCCCCTGCTGATTTTGTACGTTTGCCCACTGACAAAGAAATGATCAGTCTATAATTTTAATGGTAGGTTTGTTTGAACAGTAAGAGACAGAATAACAACAAAAAATCCATAAAAACGCATGTCAAAAATGTTATAAATTGATTTGCATTTTAATGAGGGAAATAAGTATTTGACCCCTCTGCAAAACATGACTTAGTACTTGGTGGCAAAACCCTTGTTGGCAATCACAGAAGTCAGACGTTTCGTGTAGTTGGCCACCAGGTTTGCACACATCTCAGGAGGGATTTTGTCCCACTCCTCTTTGCAGATCTTCTCCAAGTCATTAAGGTTTCGAGGCTGACGTTTGGCAACTCGAACCTTCAGCTCCCTCCACAGATTTTCTATGGGATTAAGGTCTGGAGACTGGCTAGGCCACTCCAGGACCTTAATGTGCTTCTTCTTGAGCCACTCCTTTGTTGCCTTGGCCGTGTGTTTTGAGTCATTGTCATGCTGGAATACCCATCCACGACCCATTTTCAATGCCCTGGCTGAGGAAAGGAGGTTCTCACCCCAGATTTGACAATACATGGCCCCGTCCATCGTCCCTTTGATGCGGTGAAGTTGTCCTGTCCCCTTAGCAGAAAAACACCTCCAAAGCATAATGTTTCCACCTCCATGTTTGACGGTGGGGTTGGTGTTCTTGGGGTCATAGGCAGCATTCCTCCTCCTCCAAACACGGCGAGTTGAGTTGATGCCAAAGAGCTCCATTTTGGTCTCATCTGACCACAACACTTTCACCCAGTTGTCCTCTGAATCATTCAGATGTTCATTGGCAAACTTCAGACGGGCATGTATTTGTGCTTTCTTGAGCAGGGGGACCTTGCGGGCGCTGCAGGATTTCAGTCCTTCATGGCGTAGTGTGTTACCAATTGTTTTCTTGGTGACTATGGTCCCAGCTGCCTTGAGATCATTGACAAGATCCTCCCGTGTAGTTTTGGGATGATTCCTCACTGTTCTCATGATCATTGCAACTCCACGAGGTGAGATCTTGCATGGACCCCCAGGCCAAGGGAGATTGACAGTTCTATTGTGTTTCTTCCATTTGCGAATAATCGCACCTACTGTTGTCACCTTCTCACCAAGCTGCTTGGCAATGGTCTTGTAGCCCATTCCAGCCTTGTGTAGGTCTACAATCTTGTCCCTGACATCCTTGGAGAGCTCTTTGGTCTTGGCCATGGTGGAGAGTTTGGAATCTGATTGATTGCTTCTGTGGACAGGTGTCTTTTATACAGGTAACGAGCTGAGATTAGGAGCTGAGATTAGGAGCACACTCTTTAAGAGAGTGCTCCTAATCTCAGCTTGTTACCTGTATAAAAGACACCTGGGAGCCAGAAATCTTTCTGATTGAGAGGGGGTCAAATACTTATTTCCCTCATTAAAATGCAAATCAATTTATAACATTTTTGACATGCGTTTTTCTGGATTTTGTTGTTGTTATTCTGCCTCTCACTGTTCAAATAAACCTACCATTAAAATTATAGACTGATCATTTCTTTGTCAGTGGGCAAACGTACAAAATCAGCAGGGGATCAAATACCTTTTTCCCTCACTGTACCTGGTATACAAATGGAAACTTAAAAAACTATTCAGTATGTGACTGTGGTCATCCACAACAGACCATACAACATACGATGATGAAATGCCTGATCCATTAATACGAAGGAGACATCACAGCGATACACCCCGCTTACTGCTGACGTGGTTTTCTGGCATGATCACCTGAATGTGTAGTTGGAGTTGTTGCTCTGCATCTACATCAGCCATATGAAAGAAGAATCGTTCATCGGTGTAGGGGACAGCCGCATCTGCTGTGCTGCTTAAAAGCATCTGAAGCCTGAACTTGAACTGGGAAGGATGTCGCCTATGTGGACAACGAGCGGTAGCGGATGTTTTGATACGCGATATCGTTGGGTTCATAGCGAGGAATTGCTCACCCACTTTGGCGGAGGCCGGCCGTCCCAGCCGCTGGCTGTAAATGGTCGCGGCAGAATGAATCGACGATGCCGGCTGCCCCGTGTGCGAGTTCGCCCACAGCCCGAATCTGACGCCGCAGCCGCCACCTGCTGCTGCTGCCGCTGCCGCCTTTACTGCAGCTACCGTCAGCGGCTGCGCTTGAGCGGTAGCGGCCGAGGTCTCCGGCATGCTTGGAGGCGACGACCGAGCGCCAGTGACCGGGGATGACCCAGAGCTCGGGCCTGAACCGGAGACGCCGATGCCGCTGCCGCTACCACCGCGACCGTCGCCGTTTGGCAAAAGCTGGAGCTCCATGGAAGCGGCACGAGTGGAGGAGTTGGAAGCGCAGGGAGAGGCACTTGCTGGCACTGCTGGATGCTGGGTCAATCTGTCAGTATTTGTGCCACCGTCTGTGGGCAAGAGGCACGAGAGAGACAGGCAATGCAGCGTGGTGCCCACGCAGTCTGGTCCTGTGGCAGCGGCCCTGAAAAATCACACGGCGAATACTTTAAATATTTTTGTTTCTCAATAGCGAAGCTTCAGACATCCCCGTGCCACGCATCCCGGGCGTGCATCAGCTATAAAATAGCGGTCGTCTGTCTGTGAGCCGCATCTTTATTGCACCTCTCCCCCGAGCCACCTGCGTACACCGTACCTTTACAGCACCTGTCCTGCGAGCCCCCTGCCGAGCCGGGCACGTGTGTGGCGGCGACAACGGAGGCGGAAGAGGCGCCGTGCTTCTCCCAGGATCCTGGGTTACCGGCGCTCGGAGCGCCCTGTGTGGGAAGGCCCTGCCACGCCGGCTGAGGGTACTGGGGTGGTTTTGATGCCACCACCGCCGCTCCTGTTTCGCGATGGTGCGTTCCTGTGCCCACATCGTGATCATACATACCGAGTGCGTGTGTCAGGGAGGCTGGAACTATGAACTATTTTTTATTTTACCAGGTAAAGCCCACTGAGCTATATAGCTGTTTTTTTCAGAAGCAGCTCTAACCAAGTGGTTTATCACGTGGAAATGTATAGCAGCCAAATACTCTAAACACATGTTTCTAAAATGTACCCAGAGAAAATTCCACACGACCACAGGGAGAACACGCAAACTCCAAATATACAGACATCAGGGTCGGGAACGAGCCCACGACCTCCTGCATACCAGGCGTGGGAATTAACATCTCGCCACCGTGGCACCCGAGTGGCACCAGAGAAGAATTACGAAACAGGGATTTTCGGTCAGGGGGTCGACCCGGGCTTTCAATCCTCTGGGATCAGCAAAATAAAAGCAATACATGGTAAATTGCGCTCATGCTAATGTTATCCATTTCATCAAAGAGCCGCTCCCAGGCACCGCGTAATAAATCTACAGATTACGGGTGGGGGACGTGCGGCGCGTGGGCCACACATGCCCCCCCCCCCGCCCCAACTTCATTTTACGCGGCCCACGGCCACGTGAGGCCTACCCCATCGATATTAATCCGTCACTGCAAGCATCTTAGCTGCATTAAGCAGGTACGGGGAGGGGAATGCTTTCCACCTGGCAACACTGCCTCTAATTTTAGACTGCTCAGTCCAGTCATCGGTCTCACTGCAAGGACCTCTCTCAGAGCGAGAAAAGTGACTAAGCTGTGTGTGTTAATACGTGGCCTGCCAAGGATATTTGAAAGTCCCATTCGATCCTCAGCAAGGAAAAGCTTTCCCACCCCTGCTACGTACCATAAATCATCACACCACACTCCCGTATTAATCATTCGGCGTTACAACTTTTCACCACAAACGCTATTGCTTTCACAAGCCGCGCGCATTTGGAAAATTCATTGCAAGGGAGACCGTGCTTTGAGAGCGGACTTAAAGAGCCGAGATGGAGGAGCGAGAGGCGGGGCGGGCACTGCGACTGTCCTACGGCGGGGACGCGCGACTTACCGGAGCGAGGCAGAGCATTGCTCTCACTCTCGGCCTTCTCCGCATTGCCAGCGGGGGCCAAGTCTGAGGGGGTCTCGTGGAGGCCTTTGGGATCTGCCACTGCGTTACCTGGCATGGGGGCACGAAGCGTCAGCTGTAAGAACGATTTACTAACTGGCTGTGGTGGCAGGTTTAACGACACATTTATATTTACGTGATCTCACCAAAGAAAACCTCTGTTATGTAAGAACACCGCGTTTGTAGTTAGCGTTTAACACTAGTGGTACGTACACGTACGTAGGCTGCTCTTTGTGAGAGCCCTCCCCTTGGGGTTGACAAAATGAGCACAGCTTTGTGGGAAGTCAACAGCCGTCCCGTCCCGTGTGTCTGTCTGTGTGAGGTGGCGCGGTGGTGAGCGGTGGTGCAGTGGTTCGCGCACTGCGCTGCAATGCCAACGAGCTGGGTTCAACCCCTTGCCATGTCCAGCACAAGCAGGGGGTGAAATAATTTGTACATCACAAAACCACGAGAGCTGGCTGCGGCTGGTATGTATGTATCTTGAACTTCTTACCATGTAGCCAACCATGCGACAAGGAAGTGCAGGCTTAGGGAGGCCTTCACCCACCAGTGGATTGATCGCGACTGATGATGATGTGGTTTATGAAAATAGCAGCAATTGGGAGACAAAGTCATCGATGTATGTGTGGTGGAAACAATGCCTCATTTACTCTGCTGACCTTACAAGGGTGCCAATGGACAGAGCTTGTCTCTACACTTCCTAGGGCTTAAGAGGGTGTCTTTGTATTTTGTGTGTGTGAGAGCATGCATATCTGTCAAGTGTTTAGTCTGCACACCACACATTCTTATCGGTATTTAAGTTAAAGCCTTTAAAATATTAACGGTGGTTTTGGCTCATGGACAACTGTGCCAAACGGCAGCAAATGTGAAATACTCCTCCAACAAGAGGCATTCCCGACCTGTGCACACGTGTGTGCATGAGTGCTTGTGTGTGTGTGTGTGACAGGGAGCGGTATTGGAGCGGTTAGTGTGCTGCGCTACGAACCCGGCGACTCGGGTTCGATTCCCGCTCACGGTCAACACCAGTGAAGATTATCTAAACCGCTCCTGGGCCTCCTCTAGGTCGACTCAGCCTCAAATAAGTACCTGGTGCGGTGAGTAAAAACATCGCCATTGGGGAGACAAAGGCGGTCGGGCATGGTGTTGGCCACCCACCCTACTCGTCTACGGTGCCGGCCTTCATAGGTGCTCGCTACAAGCACTTGCCCCAACAGTCTGTTAAGGCTATACGGAGGATCTTTGACTTTGTGTGTGATGGGGAGCGGTAGTGTAGCGGTTTCCGTGAAGTGCTAGGAACCTGATGACATGAGTTCCATTCCCACTCACGGCCAACACCAGTGACGAATATTTTAATCAATCCTGAGCCTTCCCTAAGTTGACTCAGCCTTAAATGCGTACCTGGTGCGGTGTGTAAAAAGGCGGCCAGCCATGGTGCTGGCCACCCACCCCTTCGTGTGCCATACCGGTCTTCATAGGTGATCAATAACAGCACCTGCCCCAGTTTAACACGTAGGCTTTCGCGACCAATATTATTCATAATAAAAGTTTTTTTGGGTTAGATCGCATTATTTATAAATGTGTCGTAACCCTCCACCACCAGACACGGCCAAACAGTAAAAAAGTGTCACGTGTACAAAGACAAATTGTTCACTACTTGAGCCCACCGGTGTGTTGAAGAGTGAATCAACATCATTTAAAATTTCGAGTAGGTTTCGCTGGTAATTACATCCAGCATCATCGGCACCTGCCCCAACAAGTTTGTCAAGGCTATATGGGGGAGCCATCTTTTGTGTTCGCAGGAGTGTGTGAGCGCATGAGCATGTGTGTGTCCGTAAGGTATTCGGTGAGTTTTCCAGTGTGCAATTGAGTGTGAGAGTCGTTGCGTACATTTAAGTGTGCAAATGAGCAGATGTGTGAGTGATGGAGTGTCTTACTAAATGGGTAGGTAGGTAAGTAGGTTGAAGAGGAAGTTAATCAATTTTTTCGTGAAACTGTAAGTGAATATGCAAAATAGCGAATGAGTGAGTGGGTGGGAGAGTGAGTGAATACATAGGCGAGTGCGTGTGTGGGCGGATGGTTCAGTGGGCAGGTGAGTGCGTTAGCTAGTGAAAGGGGCTCTCACTATTCCGTGTGCCCAGGAAGACACTCGCAGAGCGGTTCTTGTGCGTATACTGAGTGAGAACTTCCTCCAGCTCCCCCTCACTAAGCCACATGGCACACACACCATCGCGCCAAACACAAAATACACCATCATATCACAATGCCACCATATGTACCGTAACACCAGAACATACACAATGACATAAGCCGAGTTGTATGAAGGTAAAATATGAGTATCATTATTATTCTTTTAACTGGTTGGGTGTTGCTGCGGTCATAATGCCATGAGATAAAATCGCAAATGAAACCTGCTAATTGATGACAATGATAACTGCTGGGGGGTGAATGACTACGTGTCACATGATGATCCTGAGTCTCCTTACCTCGCACTGTCCATGAAGCGGTGGAACATCTCGGGAGGCAGCGTGTCTGCTCCGAGTTTTCCATCCTTGGTGGAGCGCTGGGTCATCAGCTCCGTCTCCTGCCGGTTACGCATGCGGCGAGAGCACAGGGTGAGTGCTGCGGCGGCAGCCACAGAAGTGGTGGTGGTAGTTGTGGCGGTGGTGGTGATGGTAGTAATGGTGGCAGAGGTGGCGGTAGTGGTGGTGGTCACAGTCGTGGTAGAGCTGCTGCCGAAGATAGAATTATTGGCAGCGGTGACAGCGGTGGGGGTGGCAGTCAAAGCTGTGGTGTTATTTGTGGTGGTGGTGATGATGGTGGTGGTGGTCGCGGTGATGGTGCTATTGACAGTAGTGGTGGTAGTGGTAGAATTGGTGGCGGTCCTGACACCGTCACTGGGTGGAGTGGCAGGCGCGCCGCTGCCCACCCGGTTGTAGTGCAGCAGGAAGATCCCGAGCTGCCCCGCCAGCACGCGCTTGCGGTCGGCCGGGGACAGCCGGCGCCCAGGCAGCGCCACGCGCACGGGAGCCTGGAGGTTATCGGCCGCGCGGCGCAGGAAACGCACCACCAGGTCCTGTGGCCGGCAAAGCATGGCACGGAGGATAGGGGGCAATGTGGTCGGAGCCGCGTGCGCTCAACCACCCTCGTCTCACCAGGACTGCTATCGGCCTCCAAGTGCCGAGTACTCACTTTCGGCCAGTTTTAACGACTCAAACGATATCACCATAATAAATGTATTAAATATTTGCATGTGGAGGAAATACACAAACCATTACAGCGCACACTCTGATAACATAATTATAACTACAACAGCAGTTGCAGCATCGTTCTGCCTTGTTTTCAAGGGAAGCCCTCCGTGATGCTCTTTGCTCATGGGGAACGTCATGTGTTGGAACGGCCCACAAGAGCGTTATGTGGGGGCCACCAAACTCGGCCGTCTTTGTCTCCCCAATGCAGATCTTTACACACCGCATCAGGCACTCATTTAAGGCTGAGTCGACCTAGGGGAGGCCCACGACCGGTTCAGATAATCGTCACTGGTGTTGGCCGTGAGCGGGAATCAAACTCGGGTCGCTGGATTTTGTAGCGCAGAGTGCCAGCCACTGCACTATGGCTCACTCACGCACAAAAACAAAGATCCCCCATATAGCCTTAACATACTGTTGGGGCAAGTGCTGTTGGCAAGCACCTATGAAGGCTGGCACAGCACACGAGGGGGTGGGTAGCCAGCACTGCACCACCGCCCCTCATAATAGGGAGCGGTAGTATAGTGGTTAGCCCGCTGCGCTACGAACCCGACTCACGGCCAACACGAGTGATAAATATCTTAACTTATCCTGGGCTTCCCTGAGGTCAGCTCAGCCTCAAAGAAATATTTGGTGCAGTGTGAAATCATTGCCACTACGGAGACAAAGGCGGTCAGGTGTGGTGCTGGCCACCCACCCCCTCGCGTGCCGTGCTTGCTTTCATACAGTCTTTTAAGGCTGTACACGGGATTCTAGATTTGAAGTTTTCGTGACTGCAAGGGTTCATACTCTGTTTTTTTTTTCTTGGTAAAGTCACGTAGGTAAAAAATGAAAAAAAATAAAAAAAAATGAAATCACGACGTTTCGGGCGGAACACAAGCGTCCTTCTTCAGGTGGGGACAACTTAAGTGTGACACACCTAAGCGGTGTCCTTTCGCTAAGTTGTGTTGCGCCCGAAACGTCGTGATTTAATTTATTTTAATTTTTTTACCTACGTGACTGTACAGGGGATCTTTGTCTTTGACTCGCACACACTCGCTCACACACTCGTACCATTTGCTCGGTGTCCGTGGGCAGCGGCGGCCCAGAGGAAGCGGGCTCCCTGCTCTCCTGCACAAGTCGCTGCTGGACTCGAGACAGGTACGCAGCAAAGGCCTGCCGCGCCTGCACCTTGCTGTGTCATACAAAAACAAATATCCCTGTTAGCGAGCACTCATTAAGGCCTTAATGGGACATGGGGAGAGCTGTGTGGCAAGCACCACTCTTGAACACCCTTGTCTCTCTAATGCTGATATTAACGCACCGCATGAGGTCCTCGTTTTAGGCCAAGTAGGCCTTAGGGGAGGCCAGCAGGCTAAGTTCATGTTCCCATTCCCAAGTTCTCACCCCAGTCGAAGCTCAAATCAGCCCCTAGTCCCTTCAAGACCCGACAAGAAAGATTACTTCCACTTCGTGTGAAACGAAACAAGGAATGTTCTGCGATGAAAATGGTTCCCACAAATAGACATGTGGATGTTCTACAACTGGCTGAAGGTTCCCAATGGAGATGAAGAATGCTCGTTCGAAGAGGAGGACATGTCGAACCTTCAGAAATAGGTACAGCCCTTATTGTCAATCCACTGCTGGACGATGGCCACCCCATGCCTTTGTGGGTAGTCAGGGTTATTTGACCTGACTTCACCACGCTGGTCAGTGCTGGATTTACGAAGGCGCGGAGCGTAGACGTGGAAGCACAGAAGTAGAATACAATGGATATTGCCGTACTGTCCTCCGTGTATCCTCACGACAACCTGTTTGTGTATGGTGGTCAACAATCCACGCACTATCTAGGATCAACCCCACTTAGCTTGTGAGATAACAATAAAATAATAACGGGATAATAATTAGTCCCGGTTTATAGCACCAAGGTCTGATGAGCTTGATCGCATTCCGGACAATTTGCCCATAGTCTCTTCACTCATAATCGAGCTAAACAGAGTACTTTAAGGCGTTATTGGCCAGGCCAGCACATGGGCAAACTTTCCAGTTTACTAATGTCTAAGACTGGGTGGGCGGAGGTGCTTTACATGAAATAACACAAACATTTATCTTGCTGCAAAGAATGACTGGCTCCAGCGCTTACTAGACGGCTAAATTATCAGCCTTGGCAACTCTCAAGACCGAGTATCCTGATAAAACCACAGAGCTCTTCACATTTTTCCGACCAGAACCTGAGCCAAGAAACGGCACCGCCATGACTGTTGCTCCTATTATTATGCAACACCCATGGAAGGGAGTGGTCGTTGGCAGTCGCGGAGGTGCGGAGATTAATGGGTTTGTTGGAACTTGCAGGGCTTAATGAGTAAAATTCCACGAAACCGGTAGAAGCGAAAAAATGAAAAGAGTGGGGAGGCATGGTTTTTCATTTTGGATTACACTACAATGTGATTTAGTGGAGCTATGTGCATGTTGTGGGGAGCGGTAGTGCAGCGGTTAGCGCGCTGCGTTACGAACCCGGCGACCCGAGTTAGATTCCCGCTCACGGCCAACACCGGTGACGATTATCTGAACCGATCATGGGCCTCCCCGAGGTCGACTCAGCCTTAACTGAGTACCCAGTGTGGTGTGTAAACATCACCACTGGGGAGACAAAGGCGGCTGGGCATGATGTTGGCCACCCACCCCCTCGTGTGCCGTGCCAGCCTTCATAGGTGCTCGCGAACAGCACTTGTCCCAATAGCCTGTTCAGGCTATACGGGGGGGATCTTTGTCTATGTACATCTACAGCCCTTTTGGTTAATCCAATGCTGGACGAAGGCTTCCCCACACCCGTGCGAGTTGTGGGATTGGGTTATTTGACCGTACTTACCCACGCTGGGTCAGTGCGGTTGGGTGAAGGTGGGGATTATAAGCATGGGACCCCGGACGTACAACACAATGACAGATTTTTCTGCACTGCCTTCTGGTTCCCACCACATAGCTTTACAGCAGCATCCAATGAAAATCTGCTGGTGCCTCTTGGTCACCCACCCCAAGCGCTATCCAGGTCTAAACCTGCTCATCTTCGAAGATGATGAGATTGGGTGAATTCTGTGCGATATGGTCATGCGCACTGGAACGATACTGGAACCACAACGATGGTTTTAATATTGTTGGTAAATAACTAAACCCACTCAAGGTGTTCAAGGTGTCTCAATTATTACATGAGAATTGAGCGGTGCTCATCTCCGTTGGTGGTTCTGAACCAGAGGGGAAAATTCCACATTCCTTTGACAGAGGCCAACGTCCCTCATTCGATGTTCAGTCAGGTCAAGGTGTGGAACACACTTGTGCAGGGTAGGTCACCGAGACAGGCACTCGGGAGTGGTACCTAGAGGTCGGCGACCAAGGAGAACTCAAGCCAGGTGGTGGTGGTGGTGGTGGCGGAAACGAGACTGTAAGAGTCATTCGTGAAGAACGTGTCAACTGTGGAACCCGAGGCAAGGTCGAAAGCTCAAGCAGACATCGGAAGTCAGGGACCGCCTGTGCAACTATTGCAGGATCTGGCAGAAGGAATGAAGCGATAAACTAAAAGTAAACGATTAATTATATTTTATTTTTTTACCAGGTAATGGCCCACTGAGCTATATAGCTCTTATTCAGAAGCGACCTGGTCACAAACGACGGCCAAACAAAGCGGCTCATCGTCACGTGAAAAAATTTATAGCAGCCAAATGCTCCAAATGCGTGTTTCTAAACGTGGAGGGAAAAACAGGAAGGATCGGAGAAAAATACGCGCGGCCACGGGGCGACCATGCAAACTCCAAATATAAAGGTGCCAGGTCGGGATCGGACCCACTACCTCCTGTATACCGGGCGAGGTAGTTAACATCTGGCCACGATGGCGCCCCATGGTGGCGAGATATTAACGGTGGCGACATCATCGTTACCTGAGGTTCCCTCCAGAGAGCAGGGCTCCCAGAACGGCGTCTTTGGGCCGAGCCTCGTCCCTTCTCGGCGCCTTCTGTGCGACATCCCTGGTCTCCCTGGCAACAATGGTCTCCTTGGCAACCGCAGTCTGGATCTGTTAATTGAGTCAAATTAGCAAAGCAAAGGGCTTATAATACATTTATGACTATGACGATGACTTTTTTAAACTCCGCTGTTACCAAAATTAGCTTAAAAATGTGCCACGCTTTTGAAAAATGGACGCCCCGTTTTAGTAACGGAAATTAATACTTGAGATGTTTGTTTTTGCAGACTTATTTATTCGCTTCAGGGGGAAATTCTCCGAGGAGCTGTGTAAATAAACGTCTTTTAATCATTACCGTGCGCGTGTTTAGCTACCTGTCAGCCTCAATGAGGTGGCTTGTTTTTGTAAGAAAAACTGTGGTTTCATATATTTATACGCACATAACATGCATACATAAACACGCGCACGAATGCACACACATAGAAAAGCGCAAACACACAAATACAAAGATTTCCCATTGAGCCTCATAAACCGTTGGGGAAAGTGCTGTTCACGACAGCCCATTCAGGCTGGCACAAAGCGCGAAGGGTGTTGCACAGATGCTGCATTCCCACAGTGGGTGCCTTCTATCAACAGGACAGAGCTCTTAACAAAATAAAATTGGCCGCGTGACATCATGTGTGTGGCATCATAACGTCTTGTAATGTGATCGCCAATCCGCACCTCTTGTGAACCAGGTATCTCAACTGTCAAATTATCTCACTTCTTTTCACTAATTTCTATCTCTTGCCTACGGCTGTCTCATCTCTATCTCGCCGTTTCACCTCGCTAATCTGTATCCGGCCATATCTCTCAGTGGATCACTCCAAGGGCCTTGGTGGGCAACATCTGGCTGGCGGCCCGTCAGTTGAAAAACTGTGCAATAATGGGGAGTGGGTCCCAACCACTATTCTATCTTCTACGTTCCAAGAGTATATAACGCAATACTCTTTGGTTCATTCGGTAAAGTCACGTAGGTAAAAATAAAACAAAGTTAAAATAAAACAACAATTGAAAACAACTAAATCAAATCACGACGTTTCGGAGGCAACACAAGCTTCCGTCATCAGGTGTAACTGGCACAGCAAATTTAAGGTAGAGAGAGAGCTATTTGTGATAAGAGATTATTATATAGGGTAAGAGGAGGGGGGGAGGAGCCAGGGAGGACGGATGCAGGGTGGGGGGGGGTGTTGGGAGACGGGGATGGTGAAGCCCCTGCTCATGCAACACGGATTGGGGGGGGGGGGCGGTGGGGGAGAGAATGGTGACTTGGGCCCCAACCACGATTCTAATTTCTACTTTCCAAAATACGAGGGTGACTCAACCTTGCAATAAACAGCAGTGTGCTAAGACTTTATGATTTGTATTGTGATTTGTATATGTTGGTTACTAAGGTCCCAAAAGACCACACAATTTCGATTTAAAGCTGTCGTGACTGCAGGGATTCATAGTCTTGGTTCTTTCGGTAAATGCACGTAGAAGGGAAATAATACAATAAAAATAAAAAGTTATAAAATAAAATTCTCACGACGTTTCGGCCACAACGCAAGCAGCCGTCCTCAGGTGAAGAAACAGAGCTATCGGAAAGATGGCTGCTTGCGTTTTGGCCGAAACGTCGTGAGAATTTTATTTTATAACGTTTTATTTTTTATTATTTCCCTTCTACGTGACTTTACCGAAAGAACCAAGAATATGAGACCACACAATGTTATTGGCACTGGCCAAACATCACAATGCTGAGAAAATACCTGCAAGTTGTTAGATTGGGATCACACAGAGCAAAATAACCCCTTTCCTGTGGAAACTTGGCAGGACCCTCCCGAAAAATACTTGAGACTTGAGTATTTCTTAGATAAATGCACGAAAGAGATAATAAATAACTAAGTCTTCACACTAATCAAAGTAGCCAACAACAACCATCTCTGCTTTGGAATTGTTTCTGGAATCTCTTTGGAAATGTTAAAAGGTAATAATCAAAAGTAATCAAACTACTTTGCAGCTATTGTAACAGGAATTCATTTACGTGAAAACAGAGTCATCAATGGGGTCACTGGTGGCCGACTTTGGCAATGATTCCAGTTGCTTGTTACTCTGCGTATGCAGAGGAACAGGATTTTTCCCTCCACATTTAGAAACGTGTGTTTGAGTATATGGCTCTAATAGATTTACCACTTCGTTGAACTATGATTTGTGGCCAGGTTGCTTTTGAAAGAGAGCTATATAGTCCAGTGGGCCTTACATTGTAAAATAAAAATAGTTTAATCGTTTAATGCACCCAAACAACACAAGAACAACACGGTGCCACTGTAGTGGCACTCAGGACACACCACAGAATCTCTCGGGGGAGTCGCAACCACAAGCCCTACCTTGGCTGTCGATCCGTTCTGTTTGGCAACCCTCTCCACAACCGGCTCCTCATCCACGCTGTCGTCGTCACCATCGTCGTCCTCGTCATCTTCTCCGTTTTCTTCATCCTCGTCTTCCGCATCGAGGTCCTCCGCCTCTTCCTCCGCCTCCTCTTGGGAGGATTTCCTTGAGGTTCCCTTCCTGGAAGTTGGTTTTCTCTCAGCAGGAAGCCGCCTGTTCCTCGCCCTCCGCTTATCTGTCGAGTAGCGCAGTCCCCAATCAATCACCAATCAAGTGATTCTTATTCATTCGTGTTGAATCAATCGTGGCACTACCTTAGATTTACTCAGCCATAAATGAGTTCCTAGTGCACTGTTCAAACAGTGCTGGCCGTGCCGACCTTCAGAGGTGGTCGTTAACAACACCTGCCCCAACAACTCGCAAAAGGCTTTATTTGGATGTGTGCGTATACATGCATCAGGGATGTTGTTGCTGTAATCTGCGTGCTACATTACAAGCTCGGAACCCCGAGATAAATTCCCTGCTGTCGATAACATAAATTGCAGGTGATATCTGAACCTGCTCTAGTGTTCCCCTAGGCCAACTAAACCGTAAATAAATTGAAATATAACTAAGCAAACAATATTTCTCCTTCAAATACCCGTCTCTCCATTTAGTATTTCTTACACAACCTATCGACCACACAGACTTATGGAAGTGAATAACTTCAGCAGCACCGATTCAGTAGAAGCAAACTCTGGTTCGGTTTCAACAGTGTCCACCAGCAGAATGAGGCTTGCTTGGATCAATGCTGGTTCACTCAGTGAGTAAACATCAGCACACAGGAGGCAAAGACAGCTCGATGTGAGTACCATTCCAAATATAAGAGGTGCTCGCCAACAGCACTGGCCCCATCTGTCAATGTAGGCGATGTGGGAGATCTTCATCGTTGTGTGCATACACATGTGCATGTATTTGTGTGTATTTACTGTAGGGGAGCGGTAGTGTCGCAGTTAGCGCGCTGCGCTCACGGCCAACACCAGTGCCAATTAACTCAATCGGACCTGGGCCTCCCCGGATTCGACTCAGCCTCAATTGAGTACCGAGTGCGATGTGTAAAGACATCACCACTAGGGAGAGAAAGGCAGCCGGGCATGGTGCTGTCCACCTACCCCTTAGTGTGCCATGCCGGCCTTTATAGGTGCACGCTAACAGCACTTGCCCCAACAGTCTGTTAAGACGATACGGGGGACTTTTTTTTGTGTATTTGCTGTATCAGTCATCTCAGTCAGTACCCACAACACCTAGGTCTGTCCCGTGACCTCCTGCCATCAGTGAGCCTTCCACACTTCACGTGATGGCGGCCTCACAGTGCACCTCGCCCAGCCGACCGACAGCGTCAGCGGCCGTTGCCGTTGTGTGCGCGCCGTGCCTGCCGTACGCTCCCGTTGCTGCCGGCGCCGTCGCTTGCGCGCCTCCAGCGAGAGGAGCCTGCGCTCGTAGAGGTGGAGCCTGGCGTAGGCCTCGCCCAGCAGAGCCGGCTCCACGACCCTGCATGACGCGCACGCGCGCACAGCACGCAAAGACAAAGATCCCCCCAACCCCCTTGCAGCTTTAAGAGACGTTTTTGGGGCAAGTGCTGTTAGCGAGTAGCATCTATAAAGGCTGGCATGGCACATGAGGGGGTGGGGTTGACAGCACTACGCCTGGCCGTCTTTGTTCCATGAAAATTACATTAGGTCAGGGAAACGAAATACAATGTTGCACCGTACCTCTATGCTCCCACGTCTAAGCTTCCCATCTTTACCAACCCACACTGGTCAGCATGGTAGTGCTTACACCTTTGTGCTGCACAGGGACAGCTGCCGCTCAAGGGCCACCTTGGCTAGGCGGCAGCAGAGAACTAATATGTAAGTTCCTTTGAATTGCTGTGGCATTTATGGAAGCGCCATACAAATGCAAATCCTTAGCCAGAAGGTTAAACTGTACTTTTTGGTCGAGAAAACTTGTAAGAACGGTGAATAAAGCCTTCTCTCAAGTTGAAAGCCTTCTCTATTATTCAGGATATTTCCTCCTACACGTAGGCAGTAACCCGGTGGTGTAACACGTCAACAACAAAACCGTTGAGTTCTTTAGGAGATGTAATGCAGCCATTTCAAGACATCAGCGTTCACACCCTCGTCACAGTTCACTGACCTGTGTCCATTTTAGAATCTTTTACACAACTCGATTTAATTTCCGCGAGATACACGCTCCACCCACCACACCGTACAGCCAACCTGTAATTCACAGCTGTTTGACAATTCCTTTAACAGAAACTTCATCAACAGTGCTATCCCACAGCACGTGAAATGCCATTCACCAGCTGCTTTAAGCGCAGCTGTGACGTCACTGTGCACAGGTGTCGCCAGTTATTGCCACAACCTAACAAAAAAATGTGGGTTAACCTAGAACCACCCTCGCAAGCCAACAAAGATAAACATAAACATACGTGCTTATACACGTGAACATACAAAGTGCTATTAGCGAGCGCCTATAAAGGCCGGCACGGCGTACAAGGGGTTGGGTGGCCAGCACCACACCCGGCCGCCTTTGTCACCACAGTGCTGCTCTTTATACACCGCACCAGGTACTCATTTAAGGCTGAGTCGACCTAGGGGAGGCCGAGGACTGATGAAGATATTCGTCACTGGTATTGGCCGTTAGTGGGAATCGAACTTGGGTGACCGGGTTCGTAGTGCAGCGTGCTAGTCACTGTGCCGCCACTGCCCGCACACGCAAAAGACAAAGATTCTCCGTATACCCAATAACAGACTGGTCGGGCAAGTGCTGTTAGCGAGCACCTATACAGGCCGGCAAGGCGCACGAGGGAGTGGGTGGCCAGCACCACACCCAGCCGCCTTTGTCTCCCCAGTGGCGATGTTTACTACACACCGCACCAGGTACTCATTTGAGGCTGAGACGACCTAGGGGAGGCCAAGGACCGGTTCAGATAATTATCGTCGCTGGTGTTGGCCGTGAGCGGGAATTGAACTTGGGCAGCTGAGCTCGTAGCGCAGTACGCTAACCGCTACACTATCGCTCCCACACATACACATACATACAACAACAACCGCCATTCACCACTAAGTGGCGGTGACGTCACCACGACGCTTGTGCCAGGCTATGTGCACCCTGAGGCCACGTGAAGTGTCGAATGCCCGCTGGCAGGAGGTCACGGGGCAGACCCAGGTGCCACGGGTCGACTGACTGAGATGACTGGCTGATGCACCACCTGTGCCCCCTACTGTGCCAACCTGCTGTGCTTTAACCACCCGGCACTCCACTCGTTGTTGTGAGCATCGTTTCTCCACCCTCTGTTGTTGTTGGAGGGCGACTACCTCCAACTGCCCAGTAGCGTCCTTCACGAGCCTCCTCCACAGAGGCCGATCTTGACACCGCTGGTACCAGTCATTGGCAAGTCCACTCAGCTCCACGTCCTCCTGCACCACATCACTCCATCTCTTCTCTAGCCCGTGCCCCGCCCGTTTAGCCCCCTCAATCCGGCCGAACAAAAGCTGTTTCGGCATGCGGTGGCTGGGCATGCGGGCTACATGACCCAGCCAACGCAGCCTTGCCTGCCGGAGGAGCTCACCGATGGGACCGTGCCCAGATCTTTCAAGGATTTGTGAGCTCCTCACACAATCCAGCCTGGTTAAACCCAGGATGGATCGTAGGCAGGCCAGCCTAAATGTTTCTAACCGGCGAAGATGTTCCATTAGGGGGGTCCACGTTTCGCAAGCGTAGAGAAGGGAGGGAAGGACCGTGGCCGAGAAGACCTGAAGCTTAGTGCGGAGCGACAGACCAGGTAGCTTCCACACAGCGTTACGCAACCGATGAAAAGATATTGCCGCTCGACTGATTCGGAGTGAGACCTCACTGTTAAACTGGAGCTGGTCATAAGCACACTGCCCAGGTATGGGAAACTCTCCACTCTCTCCACAACTGCCCCATCACCGATTGGGAGTTGTGGGGGTGGAGTGTCCGATGGTACAAAATACCCAGGGAGGTGCTTAGTTTTGGTGGGGCTGATGGTAAGGCCCCATCTCTTAGTGGCACGCTCCAGTCTCAGCAGCAGCGTCTCCAACTCCTCTGAATGAGCAGCTATTACCAAATCATCGGCATACATAACGTGGTTGAGCAATAGGGAGCCATCCTTTGACCGCACCCGGGCATCGATCAGCCTCCCACACATATACACACACACATTACATTTCAGCCAGGCAATTTTCATGATTCCTCACCTGAAATCTCCATTAAATTCTTAGCATCAAATGTGATTCCTAACTGGATCGGGGGGATCAGCAGAACCGTGGAATTGTCGGGGGCTGGACTGCATGGCACCCAGTGTGGTGTTCAGTCAAGGAGAGAGGGCCCATGAGGCCTGGCTGGCCTTGTGGAATCACCATTGATACTTATGGCCGATTGTTCATACAAGAAGTGCCAATGAAACCAGCCTTCAGCTATGGTTAGATAAGTTAATGAAGATGATAGCAATGTTGAGGAAGATGGTGATGATGGCGATCTCTTCGCACACTCACTTGGCTTTTCCCATTACGGAGGGAATGCTTGTAGTCGCAGTCGGTTTTGCCGCCCTATGCATAAATAATGAGAAGTAAATTGATAACAAATCGATTTCATTGACACATCCATCAATTCGTTAATACAGAATTTTAACTCTCAGTCCAATCACCCATCCGTGAATTCATTTAAGGGATGCATTCACGCAAACTCTCAATTCTCATTCAAGTGGCCCATCAATTGATTTACAGTGAATATGAATGATCGTTTCAATTGAGCCACCCATTGATTTATCCCAATGCTTATTCAAGTGGTTTACCAATCCACTGACAATGACTCATTGCTTATGCGACGTAGGTCCATACATTGAAAGGCAAAGTCTCTTCAAGTGATTCAGCAATTCATTCACACCGCACGTCAGTGCTCAATGCAATGGCACATCCACAAATTCATTGACGTCACATCTCAATGATTATTAAAATGACCCACGACATCAACTAATCGACAATTGATCTCAATACTCATTTTATTGACCTATTAGTTCACGCACAACTTTCAACGTTCATTTGAGCAACCTAACCATCAAGTGAATTACATCGAGTATCACTACTCATTTAAGCAGTCTACCAATTAAAAACTATTGAACTTGTTAATTCAAATTACCTACAACATTTTTCGATTGAAAGCTTTCGTGACTGCAGGGATTCATATTATTGGTTCTTTCGGTAAAGTCAAGTAGAAGGGAAATAATAAAATAATCCAAATAAAACGATAAAATTCTCACAATTTTATGAGAATTTTATTGTTAAATTTGTATTATTTTATTATTTCCCTTCTATGTGACTTTACCGAAAGAACCAAGAAGATGAAAACCTACAACATCTTGACTTCCGTTGAATCTCAAGCAAGGCTCAGTCTATTGCTTCGAAAATAATCTCAGGATATCAAGGTAACTTCTGAATAACACTGTTCTCTGCCCGTATGCCCCAGCACAGACTTAATAACTCTTCTCACCGGCTGTGAAAGAGACGTGTGGCCAGCATGTGGTTGAGTGTCGTCTTATTCTCCATGAAGTTACTGTAAGATGACAAACCACACAAGGACACGGTCAGCACCAATGCTAATCCGGGCTCACGAGTCCAGTAGGTTAATTAAAGTAAACTATGCAAAAATATAAACTATTTTTTATTTTACCAGGTAAGGTCCACTGAGCTACAATGAGGGAAAGAAGTATTTGATCCCCTGCTGATTTTGTGCGTTTGCCCACTGACAAAGAAATTATCAGTCTATAATTTTAATGGTAGGTTTATTTGAACAGTGAGAGACAGAATAACAACAACAAAATCTAGAAAAACGCATGTCAAAAATGTTATAAATTGATTTGCATTTTAATGAGGGAAATAAGTATTTGACCCCCTCTCAATCAGAACGATTTCTGGCTCCCAGGTGTCTTTTATACAGGTAACGAGCTGAGATTAGGAGCACACTCTTAAAGGGAGTGCTCCTAATCTCAGCTTGTTACCTGTATAAAAGGCACCTGTCCACAGAAGCAATCAATCAATCAGATTCCAAACTCTCCACCATGGCCAAGACCAAAGAGCTCTCCAAGGATGTCAGGGACAAGATTGTAGACCTACACAAGGCTGGAATGGGCCACAAGACCATTGCCAAGCAGCTTGGTGAGAAGGTGACAACAGTTGGTGCGATTATTCTCAAATGGAAGAAACACAAAAGAACTGTCAATCTCCCTCGGCCTGGGGCTCCATGCAAGATCTCACCTCGTGGAGTTGCAATGATCATGAGAACGGTGAGGAATCAGCCCAGAACTACACGGGAAGATCTTGTCAATGATCTCAAGGCAGCTGGGACCATAGTCACCAAGAAAACAATTATTAACACACTACGCCGTGAAGGACTGAAATCCTGCAGCGCCCGCAAGGTCCCCCTGCTCAAGAAAGCACATATACATGCCCGTCTGAAGTTTGCCAATGAACATCTGAATGATTCAGAGGACAACTGGGTGAAAGTGTTGTGGTCAGATGAGACCAAAATGGAGCCCTTTGGCATCAACTCAACTCGCCGTGTTTGGAGGAGGAGGAATGCTGCCTATGACCCCAAGAACACCAACCCCACCGTCCAAGATGGAGGTTTCGACATTCAGTGTCTCACCAGCGGCGACAGGCTTTGCTTAGACCAACGCTGGTCAACTGCCAAATAAACGTTTTTTCTCCGCCGTTATTTTATTTGATTCATCGGCTAAATAACCAAATTTCCCAGTGCGGTCACATACCCGTAGAGCTCCCAGGAGTGGGGAGTAGGGAGGATCCGGACAAACCCGCCTCTGCGCTCGTACTCCTCCTGCACACGGCGCAGAACCTTCACCTGTGGGGGGGGGGAGCAGGGGTGGGTCCACAGCAGGAAGAGGTTTTGTGGTTGAGAGATGGAGGGTGATGTGGTTAGGTGGTGGAGGGCAGTGGAAGGTGGTGGTAGAAAGCAGGAGGGTGGTGGTGCGTGTGGGTTGTTTCGGTTGTTTTTTGAGGGGGGGGGGTGGAGAGGGAGACAACATTATTGGATGAGAATGTGTTTGGTGATGGGTGGTGGTGGCGGTGGCCAAGCAGGACAGAACAGGGGGAATGAGAGAAGCGTGCAGAAGAGATGAGAGATGGCAGGTCTGAGGAAAAAACCACATACGCAGTTCATTATTATTACATGTGTACATGTACAGCCGTTTGTAAATCTACTGCTGGATGAGGAGATAACACTCCAAGGGCAGCACATACAACGTCATTGAACCTACTTGCTGTCCTGCCCAGCTGGTTGGGGAGTTTCGCAGTCCCACGTGGGCCACCAATTCACAGACGTGTACCACCGTGCCGGGGGAAGGACCAACGCTCATAGGCCACTCCGTTGGGAACAAATTCAATCTAGGATCAAATGCTACACCGCCTTCACTGTTGTAGAAATTCTACATACATTATCTCTAATCTCTTGAGTTCCACTCCGCTCCAGCAACCAAAGCTTCAATGCAAAACCTCAAGTCGACCTGAGCTCGGTGGGTGGTGGCTCCTCCTACTCCTCTACTGCTCCTGATATCTGGAGCTCCCTTCCCCTAGCCATCTGCACAGCTAACCTCCTCCTCCTGGTCAAGTCCAAGCATAGAGCCTTCTTTCTCTCCTCCTCTGCCTTTGAGTCCGGACGACTTCCATGCACCCTCTCTCTCTCCAACCTGCAATCATATCCCTTTTGTAAAAGGACATGTGCAGCCCTACTTTGGACAGCATCTTGGAAAGCGGTCACATTTAAATTCTATGCATACACTCATATTTTTGCAATGTGTTGAATTACCTGAAGACAAAGGTGTTTAACCTTTAAACTAAAGGGTGCACGGGTGCGTACATGTCTTTGTTGTTGGTATGTATCGTGCGGAGCGGTGTCGCAGTGGTTCGCGCACTGCACTACGAATCTGGCTCCCCGAGTTTGATTTCCACTCGCAGCCAATACTAGTAATCATTGTCTGAACCAGTCCTGGGCCTCCCCTAGGTCATCTCAGCCTCAAATGAGTACTTGGTGTGGTTTGCAATGGTCGTCACTAGAGAGACAAAAACGGTTGGCATGTTGCTGGCCACCCACTCCCTAGTCTGTTGTGGCGGCCTTCATAGGTGCTACTAACTGCACTTGCCCCAACAGTCTGTTAAAGGCTATATGAGGGACATTTGTCTTTGTGTGTGTTAACAGGTTCTCTAATAACAATCCTCGCCCCAACAGTCTGTAGGGCTATAAGGGGAATCTCTGCCTTTGTTGTGTTCACCTGTACGGTGAGCACTGGCGTAGTGGATAGCACGCTGTGCTACCATGGCTAACATCAGCAGCGAGTGACATCAAAACAGCTCCTGGGCCTTCCCAGGAACTGTTCAAACATTGGCACTGTTGAGACAATGGCGGCCGGGTGTGGTGCTAGCCACACCACCCCCTCTCGCGCGCTGTGCCGGATTTAATAGGCGCTCCCTAGCAGCAGCTTCCCCAACATCTATATAAATGATGAAGACCTTAATGTGTATGTACGTCTCAAAAACCTCCAGGGTGCTTCCCAACGACGTAGAAAGCTGAAGTTTGGCACATAGGTAGTTTTTCGGACACAAACAACAGGAAAAAAAATCTAAACATCCGAATTTTTTCATTTTAACGCCTCCCGAACTCTCAATTTGAAGTGCCCCATAAACATGTTTGTGCGTCTTCTTTGGTTCTTTCGGTAAAGTCACGTAGAATGAGAATAAAATAATAAAATAAAATAACACAATAAAATTTTCACGACGTTTCGGCCACGACACAAGTGCCCTTCTTCAGGTGAAAGGAACAAACCTGTCGGGACGACAGAAGCTCTTTCGTCCCGACAGGTTTGTTCTTTCTAATTAAAAAAAAATAACGGAATATTTTAATTGAGCTGTTTCAAGACGTCAAAATGGTTTGTTTTGTTTTGAGCGGTTGTTAGTGTCTGATCGTAGATAATGATTGTAAAAATATCATATCAGGTTCATTATTATATTTATTGAAAACTTTTGCCTGGTGGAGACAGGCTTTATGAACGAGTTCTATAATAAAAGACGATAAACGGAATCTTTGTCTTTTTGGTTAACTCATAACTCCTCCTGGTGAGTCGTCGCCATTCTATGTGACTTAAAGTGCACCTAGCCTGGCACCACCCTAGCCCAAGTGGCAATCATGTCACCACCACTTAGTGGTGCATGTTGTTAATGTTGTTAGTGCATGGGTGTACACATGCCGAGTTTGTTAGTAATTTATTGTTTTGTTTACTTTTCAAATTTACGCTGGGAAACATTTCCTGGAAGGCAGTTTTGGATAACTTACTGAGGGCATTTTTACGATTGATAGATGGTTTTAAACAAACAAAAATCCTAAAGCAGAAGATTGGTGCCAGATACAGCCACATTTTGCAGCCATGATTTGAAACTATGAACCTTACCCGTGGTATCGATGGTTAAATTGTAAGGTGCAATGTGGGCAAAGGACTGTGTTGTCTTGGTATGGTCTTTGTTGTTTTACTGCCTTGCCCAACCCAGCAGTGGAAATCTATGTACTGTAATAGTGCAATTTGTACTGTCATTTTATTTATATATTTTTTGTGACTTGTTGAACTTTTCTCTATCTTACTCTAGTATCCTTTATGTTCATGTAACTTGCTTACCCGCCCCTACTGAACATCTGTGAAAAAGAGCTTTGTAGCTACTCGGATTCCTCCAGTCTTAATAAAGATTCTGATCATGAAATGGTTTAAACCAGACACATACGCAGATGCACAATTACAAAGATCTTCCGCTTAGTGCTGTAGAGCAAAATGGCATGCGCCGTTAGCGAGCCAGAATCATGACTGACCGCATTTGTCTTCCCAGTTGCTGGACGGGGATACTCTGCACATGGCACTAATTAAAGGTTGAGTTGACCCTAGTAGAGGGCTAGAAAAGGTTCAGATATCACCACTACGATGTTATCCATTTCCTGGCGAAAAGGAATCGGAGCACGCTGGGCGAATCGCTCATTGAGGTCGCGTCGCTCTGTGGAGGGAAGTTACGAGTCGCCGTCCAAGAGGTAAAGTGGTCCCTGTCATAGGCATGGGGAATGTACACCACTAGATCTAGGACTCTTAGTGAAAGTAAGGACTGCTTAAGGCTCAATTAAGCATAGCTATGCTAACCTTTGGACGAACATAATTGAAAGACTTTTCAGACATTTTGTCAATTCACTGCTAGATGAAGGCTTCTTCATGCCATGTCGGTCATGGGGGTTAAGCCATACTTCGCCACACTGATCACTGTGCGAGTTGGTCAAGCAGGTTGCTCACGACCAGTTCATTAATGACTCGCCACTGATTAACCATGGCTGGGAATCAAACTCTGGTCACCGGGTCCATAGCGCAGCATGCTATCCACGAGGCCACTGCTTCACTTTGTGACTTATTTCAGTCAGAACTGTCCAGGTTGTTGAGCAGGAAAATATTTCCACACCCAGCACACCACATTCAGTATACCTCTCACTCTGGCCACAGCTACTAGCCACGTGCAATCTCCCAGTTTACCACTGAGAAATTAAGTCCTGCATATAACCATGGTAAATACACGCTGCACTCAAAAAGGTATAATACACTTTACACACTTACAATGCCATCACATAAGTAATATCGCTACAGACTTTCAGCTCTGAGAAAATAAAAACTGGGAGATGCATTTATCGTGTTTAAAAATAAGGTGAAATGCAGAATGCCAGGAATGCTCGTCGCTGTTTAAACACAGACGAGAGCGACAGAACCACGCAGGGCACGCGCCGCTGCCAGGCGTTGGTGGGAAAGGCACGTCCTTCTCACATACCACACTTCATCCCGAATCACTCGCCCGTGGATCACAACACAGACACACGCGCGTGCGCACACACACACTGATAGCTCACGCACAAGACAAAGATCCTCCGTATAACCATAACAGACTATTGGGGCAAGTGTTGTTAGCGAGTAGCACATACGAAGGCCGGCACGACACACAAAGGAGTGGGTGGCCAGCACCACGCCTTGCCGCCTTTGTCTCCTCAGTGGCAATGTTTACTACACACCAGTACCACCAGGTACTCATTTGAGGCCGAGTCAACATTTGGGAGGCTGAGGACTGGTTCAGATAAGCATCACTGTACATACACAGGCATGCACATACAATCATCAATCATGCATACATATTGTGTACACAAGTACTACATACTCACAAACACATGTGCGCACACACACGGGACAGACGGAGGTATGTGCATACACAGGCACGCATGCTTAATGTACAAATACACTGATACCAGGGAGCACGTACATACACAGGCATGCACATAGTATATACGTGCACACTAATACTCACATACACACGCCCATACGCACTCACACAGGGCCATCTGCACATAACAACAGCCGCCATTCGCCACTAAGTGGCGGTGACGTCACCACGACGCTTGTGCCAGGCCATGTGCACCTTGAGGCAGGATGTCACGGGGAAGACCCAGGTGCCACGGGTCGACTGACTGAGATGACTGGCTGATGCACCACCTGTGCCCCCTACAGTGACAACCTGCTGTGCTTTAGCCACCCGGCGCTCCGCTCGTTGTTGTGAGCGTCGCTCCTCCGCCCTCCGTTGTTATTGGAGGGCGACTGCCTCCAACTGCCCAGTAGCGTCCTTCACGAGCCTTCTCCACAGAGGCCGATCTTGACACCGCTGGTACCAGTCATCGGCAAGTCCACTCAGCTCCACGTTTTCCTGTACCACGTCACTCCATCTCTTCTCTAGCCCGTACCGGACCCGTTTAGCCTCCTCGATCCGGCCGAACAAAAGCTGTTTCGGCATGCGGTGGCTGGGCATGAGGGCTACATGGCCCAGCCAATGCAGCCTTGCCTGCCGGAGGAGCTCACCGATGGGACTGTGCCCAGATCTTTCAAGGATTTGTGAGCTCCTCACACAATCCAGCCTGGTTAAACCGAGGATGGATCGTAGGCAGGCCAGCCTAAATGTTTCTAACCGGCGAAGATGTTCCATTAGGGGGGTCCACGTTTCGCAAGCGTAGAGAAGGGAGGGAATGACCGTGGCCGAGAAGACCTGAAGCTTAGTGCGGAGCGACAGACCAGGTAGCTTCCACACAGCGTTACGTAACCAATGAAAAGATATTGCCGCTCGACTGATTCGGAGTGAGACCTCTGCTGTTAAACTGGAGCCGGTCATCTGCACATACACACATACACACATTCACAAAACACACATAAAGTGTATACATGCACTGCCCTCTTCTGCACACCACGTTGCCCTGAAGCCTATACCAACTTGTTTTGCATGGTGGTCACCAATGCAAGCAACCTCCCAGGCTCAACACTGTTAAGGGTCAAGGTTAGGGTTCTGCGATTTGACGATATTGGGTGCATTCCGAGGGTCCCAATCTGTGAAATCGTGAATGAAACTTAACCAATTTTCATTATATATTTCATGACATTCCAAATCGATAATTAATCAAATTCTGAACGTGATGATTGAATAACTGATGGTTGAATAACGACCCTACGTCAAATATTGCAAGCAAATTGGATAAGCGGATAATGCGTTTCTATAAATCTGCTTCTCCATGTATTCTTTAAACAACCCATCAGCCCCGCGGCCTTCTGGGAGCACCAATGATTCAGTACAAGCAAATTCTGGACCAACGTACAGCGTCTCATCAGCAGGGTTAGGCTTCCCTGGTGAACTGCCAAATGTTCAAGATATGGGTCCGAGTTCATGCAAATTGCATGCAAATTGGAGCACTGGCAAATGCACTCACGATTAAGCGTCATCCGAGTGAGTACGTGTGTGCTCGCACTGAAACTTAACACGGAGGTTTATGCAGCCAATATTATGATTCATTAAACATTTTTGATTAGGCCACGTTATGATCTGGCTAAGTGTAATGATCTCTATGAGGCTATGGCACACATTGTTAAGAAGCTTGGTCAGGTGACACGGTTAATTCAGAGTTCACGGATTTTCCTGATGATGCTTGACGCAGTTCCAAGTGAAACACCGCAGATCTAATTGCTGCTAAATTTGGTTGCGAGAATTGTTCTTGAACCTTGCGGTGTCAGTGTAAACAATAACAATCGGAACGTTAAACGCTTGTACACATGACAAATTAACATGCTTGGCAATGTTGGTTGGTGGAGGAGTCTTATGACAGCCGAATAATTCAGTGATCTCACCAAAACATCGATTATGAATCAATTAACGTTTGTTTGCCTGTGATGCATGTTCAGGTTTTCCTTCAGCTCACCTCTTCTACTGATAGGCCGAGGATGCTCACGTGACTGGCAGATAAACACGTGGCATCTGAAACGTTGGCCGACGTCGCCCTCAAAACCTAAGCAATAAAAACAGCAGGCCAAGTTATTCATAAGAATGAGTACAACAGCAACAGCAAAACAAATAAAGGTTACTCTGGTAAGGGTAGCGTCATTGGTGTGTCTGTCAAAGAATGATGAAGAATTGGCAGCACTAGTGGTGAATTCTGGCATGACCAAACATGGTGGCACTAGCTGGGAATTCTAGGAATATTAAACTGGGTGGCAAGGTTGTCAGGTGACTCAAGCAGTTACAGCGCTGAGATGGCACTGGTGAAATCCTGGGTTAGAATCCAGCCAGCTGACTTTGATTAAACCGGCCTCTCAAGCGTAGCGAGTGGACCGGTTACAGCACGGTCAGTAATGTCTGCACAAAAAAACATCACATTTAATTTGGGTCCACGCTTCACGTGGCTATATTTCAGGTCTGAGAAATAAATACAAAATAACAACAGTTTGACCATCATGCGACGGAATATTTATCTTGGTTGGCAGGGCGGGTGGGAAAGCGCTACCCCCTGTACTGTGTGGATCAGAGGTCACTTGCAGAGATATGAGAGGAAGCTCTGTGATATCTGCTTCCATGGCCAAAACCCTAACAGGAGGGTTCCACTGGTCTGTGAGACATCTGAATGGCTACTTCATCTCATGATTTGACATGGAGAGCATAATCGGGATAAAATATGTTTTTAAAGGGTGGCAACAGGAGACAATTATGGGATAAACATACAGGGCAGAACTAGTGGATAATTATGGGGGGAATATTTTACATTTACTAAACTATTTTTATTTTACCAGGTAAGGTCCACTGAGCTATATAGCTCTTTTTAGAAGCGACCTGGCCACAAATGAAAGGTCAACAAAGTTGCTTATAACGTGGAAATGTATAGGAGCCAAATACTCTAAACACATGTTTCTAAATGTGGAGGGAAAAACCGGAGGACCCGGAGAAAATTCCGCACAACCAATGGGTGAGAGACACCGCGAACCCACGACCTCCTGCATACCAGGCGGGTGGCACCAGAGAAGAATTACGAAAACAGGGTAGCACTCATTTAAACTCGAGACATTTCTCCCATCCTTACCAAGTGTTGATTTGCAGTTTGTGGTCTGCCAGTGGAAACCCTCTGTAATATACAATGCAATAGATAAAGTGTGTTAATAGAGCACAAAAAATGCAACAGCGTCTCAACATCCTGTACAAAACAGTCACGTGCATCACACGAAGAGCAAGGAATGTTGTCGATCTTGGACGTGAACAGGGGCAGGCAGGGATTCAACAGCATGGATGTCTGGGGGTAGGGTGTTCCAGACCACGCGGGCAGCAGAGAAGAGAGAATTCCCACTGAGTGAAAGCTGACTAGGGGGCTTTAACAGAAGGCCTTGGTTGCGGGAGCAGGCAGCTGGGGATGAACAAGACAGAGAAAAAAAACAATCGAAAGAGACAGCCAAGGCTGCCTGTTTGTTTTCGTACCTGTGTGTGGGGGGCTGGGCGGCCAGGCAACTCTGTGCCCTGTGGTTTGCCCTTGACTCGGGCAATCAAAGGATCCTGGCACACGAACCCTGCCACAGCAGAGGTTAGGGGTCGTTGGTTGGGGTAAGAGAGGCGCCGTTGAGTTCTTCACTAGGGATGTAACGATTCATCGATTCGTCTGTCAAAATAGATTCTTATGCCACCCGCGATATACGCATTGAACGAGGGACGTGCGGTCAGGGGAGGCAGAGCCTCACCTGTCATACTCCAATGAAAATAGCTGTTACGAAAAGTAAAAAAAAAGAATAATCAAATCAAATCAGTATTAAGATGTTTCCACTGATCTGTGTTATAAATGTCATTTCTGTACGATTCCAATCATTTTTATAGTCAAAATCGCCAAATTTGCGGAGCTCCACTGCAAATACAGGAAGAGGTGAGGTCAGCGACGCGCTCAGCCTCCCCTCTGATTGTGCAACCCGTCAGTAACTGGATGGAGCACGTGCAATAAGCGCATGCCTGTTACTATCTCAGTATGTCACCAATGTAATGTTTGTAGACCCCTTCGTTTCATGTCCTCGCCTTCCATACTCCAGGTAACTTATTTCACGTATGTGTATAAATATATTTAGGCTCGCTGGTCTCGTCATGAAACTGCAATGAAAAAGCACCAGGGGAGGCAGCTATTGCATCTGCCTCACTGAGTGGGACGTGTCTAACACGCCCCCCTCAGTGAGGCCACGCCCCCTCCGTGAGGCCACGCCCCCCTTAGTGTGTGAATCTGGCTCTGACACTAGCCAGTGCCTCCCCAGCCACTGACCTCACCGCACGTCACCGCATTGAACCGTGCAAGTAAAACTAAATTGCTTCTGATCCATACACGTGTTGTGCCGTGCTCTCTCTCGGTCGGTGGTTGCATGAACCGGGACAGGAAAAAAACAATCCACAACAGAAATGAGACGGTAAATAAAAGATGGCAAAAAATTAGACGAGACTTCCAGCAAGGACGGGACAAGCCATGCAGATGTAATAACCAGAGAGCGGGACAGTACAGACGAGAGAGACAGTAAAATGAGACAGTGCAGATGAGAAAGTCAGTGCAAGACAGAACAAGAAAGACTTAATCGATGAATTGTTACATGCCAAGTATAAAATGCATTTTTAAAAATGCATTTTTAAAAAGGCAAAGGTGCAGCGCCACAATTTATTGTTTACGCCACACACAGAGGAAGGGCCTCCAGTAGAGGGAGCTCTAGATAGCCCCTCTAGAGGATATTGGCTCTACTCTTCAACGCTAGCCAGACATCTCAGAAGAGGTGCGAGTACCCACACTTTACCCCACCGCACGCGAACTGCCGATTGGCTACCTCCGGTGAGCCCATTCACACTGCTGGGTGGACGGAGGCGGTGGAGGGGAATTAACATTTTTTTTGCCCCATTGTTTCAACTGCCATGCTGAGAAATACAACCGGTGGGCCTGTGGATTGTAAGTCGAGCTGTGCGAACCATTACATGACAACAGGATTTGCACCGTCAAAAAATTGCGCGTTGAGGACCGCCACTTACCGACCAGACTGAACATGTCGGACACCATACTGGCCTTGACCTTCAGATCCAAGGGAGCATCACTGCACAAGGTGAGCGAGAGGTCATGTCAAGAATTCACAAAGAGCAGGGGGTGGCATGCAACGCTTGGAGGTTACAGCACACTGAGCCAGCACCACTGAGATCCTGAGTTTGAATCCATGCAGCCCGCCTGTGGTTGAAGTGGGCATCTCGCGCACGGCAAAACCCCCATCAAGTTACGTTGGGTTCCGCACTTAATTTGGCTAAATTACAGCTCGGAGAATTGAAAAATGTTGGGTTGACTGTCACGTGCCAGATGTAGGAGGAAAGTTCTGCCTCCTGCTATGTAGATTAAAGTTAACTTGAAGTGATACCAGGGGTGGAGCAATTCTCTAACTTGAAATGTTGCAATCCTCTCGCTTGAGATCCGAATTGACTTTTCCATCCCATCACAAATTCAACGATAGCACAATGAGGAAAGGTATTGGCAAAGGGACATTTTTACACGCTTTTATTTAACTCACCCTGTTGTTGTCGTATCCTCAAATCTTGTAACTCAATTTTAACCCACTTCCCAATGTGGTATCGACTGCAAACTTGGTATACTTATGTCATACTGATGACAATACTATATTCTATAAAACATTTTATTAAATATAACATTGATGATGTGGCCAGATGCCTTAATGTGTCAGAGCACTGACCAACACAACACGTTATACACGTACAGCCCGCTGTCAATCCACTGCTGGATGAGGGCCTCTCCACACCGTGTTGCTCGTGAAAATTCCTCATAAATACTTCACCATGCTGGTCAGTTCGGCTTGGTGAAGACAGATGCGTAGAGACGTGGGATCATAGAAGTACACTCCAATAGTGGATTTTGCTGCATTGCCGTCTGCTGCCTACCACGTCGCGGATGCAACCTATACCACCTGTTATACGCTGCGAACACCCATCGGAGCAGTAACCAGGCTCGAACTCGCTTAGCGTCTGCGATCTGACGAGATCGGGACGTGCTCCGGTTGATTCGGCGAGAGGTGCCGACGTGGAAACGCATGCTCGTTTTGGAAACGAGACACGATTTGCTGTCAGAGTCAATCTGGCTCCTCGATACAACCCCCCGCTGCAACGGCTTCATGCCAGGCGCTCGCACAAAATCACCACCCATCATGGGATAAGCAGCTGCGCTTTGCTGTGTTACTGTGGCATGCGGATATCGTACCACGCCAGGGAAGGAGACAGGTTGACTTCCAAGAGCCACGGCTTGAGGTTGGCATCGATGAGGACATCAAATCCATACAGCTCTGCGCAAAAAAAAAGACAAAAAATCCCCCCTATAGCTTTCGCAGACTTTTATGGCAAGTGCTGTTAGCGAGGTCGGCACGCAAGATGGCCGCTCGAGGCGCGCGCGCTCCCGGGGCGCTCCCGGGGTGCTCCCGGGGCGCTCCCGGGGCGCTCCCGGGGCGCTCCCGGGGCGCTCCCAGGGCGCTCCAGGGGTGCTCCAGGGGCGCTCCCGAGGCGCTCCCGGGGCGCTCCCGGGGCGCTCCCGGGGCGCTCCCGGGGTGCTCCCGGGGTGCTCCCGGGGTGCTCCCGGGGCGCTCCCGGGGCGCTCTCAGGGCGCTCCCAGGGGGGTGGCTCCCGGGGCGTTCCTGGGGCGCTCCCGGGCCGTGCTTCCAGCAGCGGCTGGAGGGGCGTTTGTAAGGGGGCCGAGGGAGCCGACGGAGGGAGCCGATGGAGCCGAGGGGGCCGACGGAGCCGGGGGGGGGGGGCGACGGAACCAGGAGGGGGCCGACAGAGCCGGGGGGGGGGCGACGGAGCCGGGGGGGCCGACGGAGCCAGGAGGGGGCCGATAGAGCCGGGGGGGGGGGCCGACGGAGCCAGGAGGGGGCCGACAGAGCCGGGGGGGGGGGCGACAGAGCCAGGAGGGGGCCGACGGAGCCGGGGGGGGGCCGACGGAGCCAGGGGGGGGCCGACGGAGCTGGGGGGGGGGCAACAGAGCCGGGGGGGGGGGGCGACTGCGCGAGCAGAGGGAGCCGACACTGACTCACTCACACATCATACACTGACTCACTCACACATCATACACTGACTCACTCACACCATGCGCTTACTCACTCACAAATCATACACTGACTCACTCACACATCATGCACTGACTCACTCACACATCATGCACTGACTCACTCACATCATACACTGTCTCACTCACACCATGCACTGACTCACTCACATCATACACTGACTCACTCACACATCATGCACTGACTCGCTCATCATGCACTTACTCACTCACACATCATACACTTGCACAACCACTGACCCATGCACTCATCATACACAGGTTCACTCATCGTGTGCTGGCTCACTCGCACATCATACACACTCACACTGCCGCTGATTCGCTCAAACACCATACACTGACTCACTCATCATGCGCTGACTAACACATCATACACTCACTCACGCTGCTGCTGACTCACACATCATACGCTGGGAGTGTCGTGCTGCCAGCTATGGCTGCAGTTTTTTGTCGTACGTGTTATGTATATCGTTTATTGTTTAATTTAAAATCACAGTTCCTATGATTACTGTTGTTACATTACTTTTATAGTTTTATTTTGGTGATTCGAAAACATATGGATAATCTAAATTGTCTTATGGTTGTTGTTGTTGCCTTGCACCACATTGTGATTTTTGCACACAGCGTTTTAATAAGTTTTTTTTTGTGTGGAATATTTGCTGGTTTATTCCAGGAGGTTCCTGTTGCGCGTCGTCGCTTTAAGATGTTCTGTGTTCAAATTTAGTTTGTTGCGGTTGCACCCGACTTAAGAGCCGCATGGCTCACAGGGCTATACCTAATAAATTAAACTTGAACCTATGAAGGCTGGCACAGCAGACAAAAGGTGTGTGTGGACAGCACTAGGCCTGGACGCCTTTTTTTCCCTGAGTGGAAATGTTTACGCACTGCACCAGATACTCATTTGAGGCTGAGTCAACCGAGGGGAGGCCCAGGACTGGTTCAGATATTCTTCACTGGCGTTGGCCGTGAGTGGGAATTTAATTGGGTTTCCAGGTTCGTAGCGCAGCGTGCTAACCACGGCATTACTGCTCCCCAATGCACACGCGGACAGATACTTGGGTCAGAATTCGGGTTGGGATTTTCAGAATTCCACTGGAAGTCTTAATACTCAATGATGTCTTCCTGCATATAAATGCATTATCATTGTTATTACTAAGATGATTAAATAACCTGTCACAGAACCTCTGCTTTCATTTAAAAAAAATGGACCCCCACCTCAAAATCCGAAAAAGAATAGGGATTACCGTTGGGAAGAGATGTATGAATTAAACAAAATGTATTACTATCCTCATGACACATACATCGAATCGTGGAGAAAAAAACATGCTTTCCATTTCATGATACATCGTGCGTGATTGGATCACAGAAACACCGCAGGGATGGCGATCACACATGTACCGCACCAACAAAACAACAAATCACGAACCCAATTGTAACCCTGAATCATCACCCTGAATCATGACATTCATCCGAACGTAGAGGGAGTGAGTCGTCGCATCCCTGCCGCTAGGGTTAGCTGGCAGGACGGCACTCTGGCAAAGTGGAAACACTGTGCCTCGCAGCGAGAAGGGGCCTGCGTTCGAGTCCCATATCGGGCGCCTTTCAGTGTGGAGTTTGTATATTCTCCCCCTGTTCAAAATCCCAATGCTGAAAAAATACCTGGAAATTACTCAAATGGGATCACACACAGCCACAACACCATTCCCTACTGTGAAAACCTGGCAGGACCTTCCTGAAAGTCTCCAGACTCGAAGAGGCTCTCCTGGGTATAGAAGTGATGTTTTATTTGATCTCATGTTTTAGTTTTATATAATAATACACCCAAGCCCATCATTCCTTCAGGATTAATAAAATTACTAGAACTGTGACTCTTGCATCAATGCGTGCATCCGAGTAATAATAATTCGTCAAATCGCGATTGGGGACAAGGTAAGAGACAAATCGTGACGTGCTGCTTGGCCACGTTCAGGGAAAGCGCCTGGGAAATGTGGGGCACTAAAGGGGCAGTGTGCGACGGTGGAAGAGCAGAAGTTCATACCGAAGCAATTGCCTCTGTGCGGCACAAACATGCGCACAGACGAGGCGATGGTCTGCTCCACCGACAGGATCGTCTTCACAATGAGGTCTTCAATCCGCGCCATCAGGGCTGTTCGAAAACAACAGCAAAAGCTATGACGAAACGCTCGAGCCAGACAGCCAAGTGAGCAATAACAAAATAACCGAGGCTTATCAGCATCATAAAACTTGAGAATGTTGGTTTCAATGGGCTCCCGTACTTGCAGAGTCCTTTGTTAATCCACCGCTTGATGAGGAGCTTCTCAAGCTGTGTAGATTGTGGGGGTTATTTTGAGCATACTTCACAATTAACTAGACATCTTAATGCAATGCTCGTAAAGGCCAAATGAACGTGTCTTCATGCTCAGGGCTTGATTTCAGCCACGCCTGTTGGGGTCAGTGACCTGCCAAATATATCCGCACCTGCACACCACATCCAGGATACCTCTCTTTATGGCTGTGGCTACGAGTCACATGGCTACGCCAGTCTCCTGGCGACCCGTGAAATATTCAGTGCGAAATGAAGCCCTGAGCACGGCGAGATACTTAGACTGCGAGCCGTGCCTCGGAATAAGCATCCAAAACTGGAGTTTTCCGCGTGGAGGCAACCGGCCACCCAATGGGGACAGGGGCGTCAACCGACCCGTGGTGTCGTGTCCATCCTGCTTGAGGCAACGCAGCATCGCGCTCATGCTCCACTTGTTACCGAAGTCTTCCACCTCCGGGTCATCGCAGCTGCGCACCGACCATGCAGCAGAACCGCACAGAAAGCCACGGGTTTGAGTCACACCACGCAACTCGTCTGCGCCTTGGTGGCTTCTGTGCCAAGGCCCGAACGAGAGGGCCACCAGGAGGAGGGTGGTGATTTGTACCACTGTGGCGTGATTGTTTTACCGTGAAGATGCGCACACGTGCATGGGTGCCCCCCCCCTCCACCCACCTCACCCCAACTTTTGGACGCACCTGACATAGTCGCGGCTTTTCTTGTTGACGCTGTAGTTCGTCAGGTGCATGAACTGGTTCTTGATGAACTTGGAGTTGCGGTCATACTTTACCGTGGCGAACCTGCGTTCACGAAAGGATAAGAATAGTAATGACGATAGCCCCATTACGCGAGCGTGTTGGTTTGCTTTCAGACTGACCATTAGTGCTTGTAGCAGTAAAGGTCAAGTTCGAGTCTCCTGACTCAAACCTGTCTACCTACTTACACGAGTCTGTGGCGAGGCTCATGTCAGTGGTGGAAACTACACATTAACCATGACGGAATCCAGTCTATCGGTGGCAGGAACACTGCTGAATTTGAAATAAGTCGTGATCATCTGATCAACCCTAGGATGATGAACCGGGTCAACCATCAACCAAGATTTGAACTTGCAGCTGATGATTGTCAGCTGGGGACTCTTACCACAGCGTCACCCAGCCAGTCAGACAGGTGTAACCATTGAACATTTGAAATGTCAAATTTCGTGATATAAGTCAAGAACGCAAAAGTAGTGCTCTTACACTCATCTCTGTTGGCTCTCCTGCACCAGTGGGCAGAAATCCCACATTCCTTGGGCAGGGTCAGTATCTCTAAAGGAAAACCACAGTAGACTTGAACACCAATTGTACAAATCGGGGGTAGCGGCCCAAGTGGTGTTTGTGTTCCGCTATGAACCTGGCGACCCAAGTTCGAATCCCGGCCACGGATAACATCAGCGGTGAGATTTATCTGGAAGTCCTCCCGTACGTCAAGGTCCATCAACTCGCAATGATCAACGTGGTGAAGTAGGATCAAACAACCCCCCCCCCACTACCAACACGGCCATCATCCAGCAGCGGACTGTCAAAGTGCTGTACAAACACCAAAACAAAATGTCACCATTCGCACAGCTCACCTAGGCCAGAGCCTACGTCTACAGCTCTCACCTAGTGAGCCTCCCCATTCTGCTGCAACTCACCTGGTGAGCCCCTCCTCGTACAGGTAGATCACGAGTGGCTCGTAGGACGTGACGAGAACATAGAGCCTCACGTCGAACTTGAAGTCTGCCAGGAGACACGCGCCGCCCGCCACCGCTGTCACCCAATTCTCCGCACCACAGCTCACACGGCTCGCAACACGGCTCGCAAAACATGGCTCGCACGGCTAACATGGCTCACAACACAGCTCGCACACCTCACACGGCTAACACGGCTCAAATGGCCAACACTGCCTGCACGGCTCACACGGCTAACACGGCTAACATTAGTCGGCAGGACAAGGCACAGCGGCTCAGATGTCAGAGGGCAGAGCCTTGCACTGCTGACATCCTGGGTATGAATCCAGGCAAGTGCCTGTGATTAATCCGGGACTTCAAAGTGTCGTGAGATGATGGTCACCGATCCTAGCACATCGCATTAAATGTGGTACTGCACTTGTAAGTCAGAGGCTGTATATTAAATTTGTCGAGGATTCTGCATCAGCTCACAAGAGGGTTTCTTAGTGGATGTGACAATAGTTCTGTATTAGGATAACAGTGGGTTTAAAGGTTCATTTGAAATGAAAAAATATCACTCCCACTCAAAGGGGTCGTTAAAACATTGTGCAAACAAAATTAAAAATATCAAATCAGGTAAAATGTGGAATGATTAAAGGTTCTATATGGGGTGCAACAGGAGTTCAGTGTCAGATGGTAACAACAACCACGTGCAGTGTGGATGGCAGTTGCAGCAACACTTCCTCTGTAAGCAATTTTCTAAACGAGAGAAATCTTAAGTCAACAGCTTCCCTATTCATCTGAACAAAGCAATTGTATTAATGGCTATGCTATTGTTTGACATTTCCCCAAGTTTCTGATGAGCTGGTATATAAAGGTATAGCCACAGCATTTATGATTCACAGAAATGAACTAAAAAAAGAATAAAAACTCATCTATAAAACCGTCTTAAAATTAATGACTGAATATAACAGACAGCGTTTTGGACAACGACCCTTTTCCCTTCCTATGTGCTATGAAGCTAGGGCTAATGCCTAAAACGTCATCTATTTTACATAGAATTTTTTCCTTTTAAGGCCACAGTGTTATTGTACTTGCGCACCATTCCCAACGCAATCATTTGTCATTAGACAATTTATCACTGAGAGCACTTTAAGCGATTTAATTGTAACGGGTGAAAGCATCTGCTCCATACACACACCCAGTCCCACGTCCCTAGTGCCCCGGCGGCAGACTCACGGACACGCGGCAGACAAGACGCAGAAGTGGGCAGGGAAGCGGGCAGACAGAGGGGGAAACTGTCGGACCTTCTGGCTTGTGTCAGGCTGACACATATTGGAACAGAGAGACTCGTCACAATGCCAAACACACGACTCGCCAGCCAGACCGGCAGGCAGGCAGACAAGCAAAGGCGGGGAATGACACATAGACTGCCAGACAAACAAAGATCCCCCATATAGCCTGAACAGACTGTAGGGGCAAGTGCTGTTAGCGAGCACCTATTAGGGCCGGAACAGTACACGAGGGGGTGGGTGGCCAGCACCACGCCCGACCGCCTTTGTCTCCCTAGTGGCAATGTTTACACACCGCACCAGGTACTCATTTGAGGCTGAGTCGACCTAGGGGAGGCCCAGGGACCGGTTCAGATAATCGTCACTGGTGTTGGCCGAAAGCGGGAATCGAACTCGTGTTGCCGGGTTCATAGCGCAGCGCGTTAACCGCTACACTACCGCTCCCCAGACTGCCAGACGCACACACACACACGCATGCATGCATTTGGATAAGACAATGATTCAGACAGGGAAACAGACAGACACATCGTCAGACACGCATCCAGACAAATACACAGGCATTAAAGACAGGCTAATACAGAGACATATACAGATGCACCACTCTTACAGAAGGAGACACACACATGTACAAAGCTGGATACACACACCCATCAATGAATTCATCAGCTTATACAGAGATGCACTTAATATCTCAGTGACAAGCAGTTATTAACCCAAATACACATAAGCTACAAGGTATGACATTTAAAATCATAACAAACACATTTTACCAAGTGGTTTCTTGTCAGTCTTTAAATGGAAGTAATTTTCTGAACATCATTTCAATCTCTCAGTACTTGGTTTAAATCTCACCAGACTTAGGACAGAGCTATCACTTCGGGGCATTTTAGTTTCCATGCGTGTGCGTGTGTGCGTGTGTTTATTGCATCTCACTGTGTGCCAGGCTTTGAAGTAGGGCTTGTATCAATTGTTTTGACTGTCAAAGACAAGGATTCCCCATGTCGCCTTTAATTGACTGTTGGGGGAACATTCTGTAAGCGAGCACCTATTAAGGCTGGCACAGCACACGATGTAGTGGGTGGCCTGCACCACGCCTGGCTGCCTTGGTCTCCCCAGTGCTGATGTCTACAAAACTGTATGAGGTACTCATTTAAGGCCGAGTCGACCTAGAAGAGACCCCATAGCAGTTCAGATATTCGTCACCGATGTTGCCTTGAGCCAGGTTCACAGGGCAATGCACTAACCAGTAAAAAGGCCCTCCGTATAGCCTTAACAGACTGTAGAAGCAAGTGCTGTTAGCGAGCACCTATGAAGGCCAGCACATGTACACGAGGGGGTGGGTGACCAGCACCACAACCGACCGTCTTTGTCTCCCTAGTGGCGATGTTTACACACCACACCAAGTACTCATTAGACACTGAGTCGACCTAGGGGAGGTCCATGACCCGTTTAAATAGTCGTCACTGGTGTTGGCCGTGAGCAGGAATCGAACCCAGGTAGCCGGGTTCGAAACGCAGCGCGCCAACCACCGCTAGGGCACCCATGCCTCCTCCCCCACCGCTCACCTTTCATATGGCTTCACGTCTTCATTACTGCCGTTGCCGATCCTTTTAGATTCTTCCCTTTGCTATTATTCTCAAAGTGTAGGGTTTCAGTTTTTTCTGACAAACTCATCAAAGCCAGCGAGCAGCACGGCCTTTTTCACTTATGCCTCGCCCGCAACATGGGCACGGGCTCGATGTCCCTGGGCGCTGCGCGTGCACCTGTGTGCCTGCTCTCATCATTATCACTGCCTCATGGGTGAAAGGGCATTCTACAACCAAAGAGAAAGTGCACATGTGCGTGACTGACTGAATGGGTTACATAATTTAGTCTTCTACATTTTCACTCTTGAATCTCTACTGATATTACGACTACCATGGCTACTGTTCCCGTGAACTTCACCCACTGACTCCTCCACCCATGCCGAGAACTCGGCCTCTGCCAGACTGTTTCTGACCCCGCCGTTCCACGTTCAACCACCACACCACAGGTCACGACGCTTCTCTTTCCGCTTCTTCCCTTGCACTGCTCAACATTGGAATTCCCGCCCATCGTCACTTTTCCCAAAGCTGATTACCTTGCTCAATTCAAGAAACGTGCCGAATTATTATCTGTTACATCTTTGACAGTGCTGTTTGTTGCTGGCCGCTTTAAGTTTTGGGCCTTTGGGCCTATGTTCACTATGTTCAAAGTGACAACTCTGAACATAATCAAAACGGATTGATCAAGAGTCAAAAAAATATTACACGAATACCAGGGTCTGCTGGTTGAGTAACGTGGTTATTAAAAAAAGTTGAATTGCAAAGTGCACAAAGGATCATGGAGAGATGCATGCTTGGAATGACCGAGAGGAGCATGGGTTAGAGAGCGCTTGCAGGTTACAGACAGGAATTCACTCCGTGAAGAAAGGTTCGTGGGCTTGGGCAAGACACTTCGCTAGATGATGGCTGATGGTCAAGAATAATGATGGGAGTGGCACCCGAAGATTGGAATATACCCGAGGGCATGTCCACACAAGGAGATGGAGCGATGAAATCATGTCGTGTGCAGGTGCTGAATGGATTACATCGCAGGACCGTGAGAGACGCTGGCAGCTTCGGGAGACCTCGATTCAAAAGTGGATTGACCATCGATGATGATGATGGTAACCAGGGTCATGCTCCATTCTCTATGGAAACGTTCACAGAAATCGCCCTGACATAGGTTACAGAAATGTTCCAAGTCTCCTTACTTATTGCAATATAAATAGCATGTACAATAGATAAAAATTACTCAGACAGGAAACAAACGTTCCCTTAGTTAAGGGACTGTTGGGACGGATGCTATCAGCGAGCACCTCTTGATGGAAGCACATCGCTGCTCGGAAGTGGTGTGGCCAGCACCACGCATGTCCAGCCACATTCATCTCTCTGGTGCTTGGCAATACCAACACAGCTGGTACTCATTTTAAGATGAGCAAAACACAGAGATGCTCAAGACAAATGGACACTGCTGTTTTGCGCACAATGGCCAGGAATGAAACTCGGGTCATTGCAATCATAGCGTCGTGTGGTATCCAGCAACCCGTGGCGAAGTTTCATTATATCACAGTGAAAAACACCTGGGGTGGAGCGGTGATGCAGTGGGTCAGCACACCGCTCTACGAACCCTGTGACCCAAGTTTTATTCCTGTATTAGGCCAACGAACGTGGTGAGCGATGCAAGAACGGGTCGTGGATCCCTCACCGCTTCACCAACCCGGCACTGACCACCATGGTGAAGTAACATTAGAATAAAAAACTGTGACTGACATGACGAGGGCAGAACAAAGAGGTGAGAGCGGATGATAGCCTGAACAGGTGAGAGCTGAATGGGTGAAGCCTGAAGGGGTGAGAGACTGAAAGGTGAGAAACTAAACGGGTGAGATACTAAACGCGTGAGACCCTGAAGGGGTGAGAGGCTGGTTTGTGTGAGAGCATCGATGGGTGAACGTCTGAACATGCAAGAGCCTGAACAGGAGAGAGCTTGGACATGTGAGAGCCTAAACGGGTAAAGTCTGAACAGGAGAGAGCTTGGACAGGTGAGAGACTTAAGCTGCTGCTTGAAGATAAATGGTGCTTGGATGATGCAAATTTGTAGTAAGAGAGAGTTCCAGACGCCAAGTGTCGTCCAGCCAGTACAGTCATGGTTTAGAGTACAATGAGCACGTTATGAGACGTGCTTCGGAGAAACATAGCAGTTTGCTGTGATATGTGGA